TCTATCACTTTGGGGATGAAGTCCTGTAGTTGCTGGATCAACTGGCTTTCAATTGAAAGCATGGCCAATGCGTTAAGTCGCGGCTGTCCCATGGTGTTGCGAGTGAACATCTTTATCCTTTTGAGGGTGGAAAAGTTCCTCTCTGACTCGGATGTCGTCATCGGAGTTGTCACTATTATTTTGACCAAAATAACAGTCTCAGCAAACGTTTCCTCCAAGTTGTTCTCGTGAATGGATTTCAACAGAGACAGGGCAGTGTTTCCAGTGTGAAGCTCACTGTGGCGGTAGAGCGTGGTCAGCTCAGACTTCAACTTCTCCTTGTTTCCCAACGCAGGCCACAGTTTCACGGCCAGTCAAGCTCAGGTGTAGGAAATGACAGGACATGCTGTGGGAAGAATGAGCTGTCAACAAGCTTTGCAGCGATCAAATGGTCACTCTGTGAGAACCTCTGTTCCACCTGTGAGATGACTGTGTCACAAGCCTCCTTCATCACCGGCGCTGTGCTGCTGACTCGTCGGCCTGGCTCGTCTGTTCCATCATGAGCAGTGGCGGCCAATGCATCAGTTTTCTGCCTCATTTTCTGAACATTTTCCTTGAAACGGCAGAGCGCGCTGTTGATCCCAGGTGCATCGATGCTTCGTTTTTGCAGAGTGTTGTATAGAACATCCACTTCTGGCATAAGCAACGAAAAAAACTCCAGGAGCTGCATAAATGCTCGGTCCCGCAGTTTCTTTGACAGGCCGTATGCCTCACTTATGGTGACCGCATCCCATCCTGGTTGTGCGCGTATATGCTTCATACACTGAAGTAGTGCATCTCGGGTCTCCCAAACCGCGTTCACAGTTCTGCTTTTAAAGTTCCATCTCACAGCCGGTGGCCGTGGGATGCGTCTCTGTGTTGCCTCTGCAAGAGCTGCAACACGTTTTGGAGCACCGGAGAAAAAAGTGGAAAAAGCAGTTAGATCTGCAAAAAACACCTTCAGGATGCTCATCCTTGCTGAACACAGTTGCTGCAGGGTCAGGTTCAGTTGGTGGGCGTAGCAGTGAACAAACTGAGCGTTTGGGTACGTCTCCTTCATCACCGTCTGTACCCCGCGCACGTTACCGCTCATGACGGCCGCCCCGTCATAGGTCTGAGCGATTAGCTTTTCTTTCAGCTTCAGGGGTTCCAGAACAGCCTTGATGCTGTTAGAGAGACCTACACCAGTTTTGTCCTTTACTTCCACAAACTCCAAAAAACTCTCTGTAACTGTGAGGTCAGGCATAATGTATCTCAGCACAATCACCATTTGCGATTTACAGGAGACATCGGTTGTCTCGTCGGCCTGAACGGCAACAAATGATATGTTGTCCACTTGCTTGGCTATTTCCTCCCTGTACACATCATACATGCAGTCCAAGAGTTCATTCTGTATGGTGCTTGATGTCCCTTTGAAAACAAGCTGAGCTTCGTAGTGCCGTTGAAGCCTGGAATCGCCCTCACACATTGTCTCGAAAATTGACCTGAATATCCCTGGATTCAGAGAGTCCGCCGACTCGTTGTGGCCCCGCAGTGCTGTCTCACATTTCCCACACAGTTTAATACAGGTGATGATCCGACCAAGCACGTACCTGTTTTCTTCCACCTTCCTATTATGAGAATCAATGCCGCGTCTGTAGGCGCTGTCAATCTGAGCTGCAACATTCACCCTTCCAAGTAATCCCAATTTTACGGCATTTTCCAAATGACTGTTGCTGCTCTCATGCTTCATTGTCCTCTCCGAAAGATGCTTTAAGTCCTTGTAACCTGTCCTCGACCAAGTACCTTGATCTTCACCAAAAAGCAGGCAAGGAAAGCAAAAGAGGGAATTCTTCTGGATGCTCGCCGTTAGCCATTTCTTTTTAGCAAACCACTCAGCGTTAAACCCACGTTTAACTTTGCCCGCAGTCTGGACCATTTGGAAATCCGGTGGATGGTGGGCACCGAGGCGCTTTACCTCCAGTTTCTCTCCGAGACTAAGTGTCTCAAATGTGTGCTCCAGTAAATGGTCAACTTCATTCATTTTCTTTCAGTGTTTTACTTCTTTTAATCGCTGGTGATGTTAGCTATATGCTGCTCTCTCGTCTCCTCTTCAAACTACACGTGACGTTTCGCAGCACTGCACACGTGAGTACTTACAGCCAATCAATTCTGAATTATGTGAGATGACGTATGGTGGGGATGGGAGCACTATGCCCCTACGGTCATTATTTTTTTGCCACACACATTAAATAGAAAAATACTCTGAGCATGCGCAGTGTAGTTTTTACAATCACCGTTCACTTAGACTGTGAGAGGGAGGGGCAGGATCGGGTTTTGTACCACATGGCTCTAAACAGCTCAAAACGGCACTCTACACACTAATTAGAAGAACACAGACTAAAACAGAAATGTACAGACGAATCAGATTATTAAACATGACCTTAAAATATATTTTACATGTTTTTTTATTTATGTTTTAGTATTTTTTTGTAATCATTATTTGTAATACTTTCTTCTGACACTAGGTGGGGCTGTGCCCCACCTGCCCCTAATGACCCGCCGCCACTGCTGATACATATAGACATCTCTATATTTCTCTCCTGGATGAGCTGGATGCAATCCTACCTGGAGGGGAGAGAACAGATGGTGGAGGTAAACGGTAAACGGTACTCTGTCGTCCCCCCCCCTCCAGTGAGCTGTGGTGTTCCACAAGGAAGCATATTAGGTCCGTTACTGTTCCTAATTTATGTAAATGACATGTCATCAGCATGTGACTGCAACTTGTTCCTGTTCGCGGACGACTCAGCCCTGCTGGTCTCTGACAGGAACAGGTTGCAGGTTGAAAAAACCCTCAGCTCCGAGCTCGGCAGAATCTGCACCTGGCTCGCCGATAATAAATCATCATTACACCTGGGTAAAACAGAGTCCATTCTCTTCGGTTCGAAACATAATCTCAGCAAATCCGACGACTTCTCAGTTGCAGTGGGCGACATTATTGTCACAAGTAAGAAGGAAATTACATACCTAGGATCTATTCTTGAGGCAAACCTCTCCTGTGACAAAATGGCATCCAATGTAATAAAAAAAGTCAATCAAAGAACTAGATTCCTATACCGGATCTCCTCTCTGGTAAACAAAAACACCCTGAAAACTCTGGCAGGAGCACTCATTCAAGGGTACTATGACTATGCTTGCACGTCATGGTACCATAGCACCTCCAAGGCGCTAAAAATAAAACTTCAAACATCGCAAAATAAACTGGTCAGACTACTGCTTGACCTTTCATCTAGAACTCACCTCACCTCTGCCCACTTTGACAACCTAGGATGGCTTAGAGTAGACGACAGAGTACAGCTACTTGCAATGGGCCTGGTCTACAAGATCCACTACACCTCTATGGTACCCATGTACATGTCAAAATTCTTCCCAAAGGCCAAGGAATACCATGATCATAACACCAGAGGGAGCTCCACAAATCATGTGAAACCCAGATTTGGCACAAAAAAGGGGGAATACACGTTTCGCAATTATGCCACATCAAGGTGGAACGCTCTTCCCACAACTGTAAAGGAAAGTAAAACTATACTTACCTTCAAAACCTCTTAAAGAGCACCTTCGGGGGAGAGCATTGCAAAACTGGCCCCGGTAATGGTACAAATCTCAACCTGTCGTTCAATGGACAGCTTCCCCCCCCCCCCAATCTATGTATATACTCGCATTTTAGACTCTGTTACTAACTGTATATCTGTAGACTTGGTATGTCTTAAATGTCCGGTTAGGATGTATTAGAACGAAATCTAAAATGAAAATTGTAAATAAGCAATCTGTATGTAAAAAACCACCTGTATGTAAATTGTAAATAAGCCATCTGTATGTCAAATATGTCTTATATGTCTTAAATGACGTGATGAATTGGAAATGGGGGACCCTGATGTAAACAAGACGAAAGTCTTTCTCTGGTCTGCATCCCCTTAACAATTGTATGTTTTGAGCTGTACTGTACTGTACCCAATATACAAGCTGTTAATAAACTTTTCAATCAATCAATCAATCTCCACGTGTTTGATTGTTCTGACACATTTCAAGGGCTCTAATATCATCATGATTTGAGATGTAGCAGGAATGGTTATGTGGACTCATCCCTAGGACCAATGTGTGTGAAAGGGGTCTTTATGTGGGTATTTCGTGCAATAAGTAGCACGTTCCTTTTATGTTGTTTACATGTTAAACTTGAACGTCATAGGTCAGAGGCTATTATCACAATCAACTACCTAGCATACTATCGAGGTCCCGGTGACCTTTTTTCAGTGCTAAGTAAACTGTATTGAGTTGTTGTGTTAGCTGCATGTACTGAAATGTTCTCCATGGTTGGAGAATTGTCACTACTACCAAGATGGTAACTTGGTCAAGTCAGCATTGTAAAGCTCCCACCAGGATTTGAACCTGGCATTTCTATAATTAATTACAATTACACACATATTAGTTTAGGAAAAGCTGCACCTATGCTCCACCAAATTATTTCACACTGGCCCAAGTAGGTTCCTTAGAGTTGCACATTAAAAATCAAAGCCTTGCCAATAAAAGTGTTAACATTACAATCGCACACACACATTTAAGCACCATCTATATATGTGTCATTCGGCTGACATGACTACATTCATGTAACAAGAAACTTTCCAAACCTGCCTAACCTGTGCCCAACCCCACAGCCAGGTACTGGGCATGGCCGTTGTGGCTGTGGCAAAAGTCATATACTGAGACAGTGGGTGCATAAACCAACAATAAACCCTGTGTGTAAGGGATTGTGTCAGCGGTCTTGTGTAAGTTAGGTTAAAAGGTATTGTGTAAGATAGGGTGTGTAAGTTAGGTTCAAATGTCTTGTGTAAGTTAGGTTAAAACATTTTTTACGAGTGGTGCCAAGTTTGGGGTTTTTGGTGTATTTATAAAACAGTGACATTCAATAAATCAATGGACATTAATTTAAGAGTAAAGTATGTAGGATGGCAGATGTCAGGTTAGAATAAATGCAATGAGATGTAGGCTATAACGAAATAAAATATCTAAACATAATAAACAAACGATCAAATCCAAAACGTCAATGTAGCCTACCTAAATCAGGTGCCACACACATTTAATATATAATAAATATACATATAACAGTGTAGGTGTTGTTTTTGGCTGGATTCATGTATCAGTATTGTCAAGCCACGTAACGTTATGACGTTTACTGTAAAACGAGGAAATCGAAACTCAGCTGTATCCAAAGTCAGCTGAATCAAAGCATCAAGGATATTATGCAGGATACATACTGCAGCAAGAATAGAACAAAAATGGGAAACCAAAGAGCTACTGTGAGAGGTGTACTTCGATCTTATCGTTTTATGTAATTTAGGATCGAATTCTGACATAATTTAAGATGGAAAGTGTAAGTGCTGTTTCCAGACTGAATGAGTACGCAGAGAAAAAAAAGCTTTTACTTCAATATGAGGATCTTGGCTATGGTGGCCCAGACCGCAATAAACAGTAAGTTTAATAACATTTCTGTTACCCGTGAGTTATGCTTAAGTCTTCCTGTGTAGCTATATTATTCTGTCGGAACGGTAGTGGTTCAATATCAAGGTTATTGGACTTCTCAAAGAAAAAAAACTCCTTAAAGAGGGTGCGTTCACACCTGTCTTGTATAGTCCGGTTGAATCGAACCCTGGTGCGTTTAGCCGCTTGGTGCAGTTCATATGGGTCGGTGTGAACACAATCCGAGACCTCTTAAGTGAACTAAACAACCGGACTCTGGTCCGCTAAAATAGGTGGTCTCGGAGCGCTTGCTTGCGAACTCTGGAGCGGTTCATTGCTGGTCTGAACGCAGTCCGCACCAAAACATAGGTAGCGTAGTATTTACGTGTCACAAGAACGCGGATTTCAATCATGAGAGACGTGATGTATGAAATACATGTTTAATACCGGACACGTGGTATAGAAAATTATGATGACAGATTACAACAATGAATCAACTGATGTTTGGAGATTAGGCCCCGGTTTGTAGGATAATCATTCGGGAGGGGAAAACCGCTCCGATGAACCCCCCGGGGTCTAGACACTGGTGGTGGTGATAATGGTTCGGTCTGGTCTGGAGGAAGAAGGATTAGCTTGGCCCTGAATTAGGAGACAGGAGGCGAAGGGGTGGAGGCGGGTTGTGCGTTGACACCTGAAATGACAACTGACAGAGAGGGAAGAGCAGATTTAAAGGGTTTAGCAGGTGCAATGATTGCTAGCTGGGGAGTACCGCCCCTGATTACTTAATGGGAGAGGAGCTTGCAGTGACGTGTAACACCAGGGGTATGGTCTTCCTTCTTGAACTAAGCTTCATTTCAATCATGAGACGTGATGTATGAAATACATGTTTAATACCGGACACGTGGTATAGAAAATTATGATGACAGATTACAACAATGAATCAACTGATGTTTGGAGATTAGGCCCCGGTTTGTAGGATAATCATTCGGGAGGGGAAAACCGCTCCGATGAACCCCCAAAGAGAAGAGAAGTGAGAAGTGCTGAGATGTGAAGCATTTCTTACCTTGCTGGCTGATGAGGAGCTCTGTGGATGAAATGAGATAACACGGGGACATGATGAGATGTCGGAATAACTGTAGGGTTAATGTGAACGCCAACCATGCTTAGCGCCTGCATGTTGGATTAGACGATGCTGGCCGCAACCTGCACGCGCAGGGTTAAACATGACGCTGACCCACCGGCCGCAACCTGCACGCGCAGGGTTAAACATGACGCTGACCCGCTGGCCGCAACCTGTACACACAGGGTTAAACGAAATGCTGACCCATAGGCCGCAACCTGTACACCCAGGGTTAAACAAATGCTGACCCATAGGCCGCAACCTGCACACACAGGGTTAAACAAATGCTGACCCATAGGCCGCAACCTGCACACACAGGGTTAAACAAATGCTGACCCATAGGCCGCAACCTGCACACGCAGGGTTAAACAAATGCTAAACCATAGGCCGCAACCTGTACACACAGGGTTAAACATGACACTGACCTACTCGCCCTGCACGTGCAGGGTTTAAACATAATGCGGACCCACTGGCCGCAACCTGCGCGGCAGGATTCAATACGAGCGAACCTGAAGGTCACGACGATATGAAGTGTTTGACATGAACACGGTGACACGTAAATATGCTGACTTGCTAAGACCACCACCAGTTGTATGTATAAATACCGTTTAGTGTTCGGACCTTGGATAGCCAGCACGCACGGATGTCCGGGCGAATGTGGGATATGAAGGCGGAGGAGGACCACCGTCCGAGTTGGCAGGGAGGAGGGAGATATGCCTTGAATGGCTGCACCTGTCTGAACGAAAGCCCTGATATGCTATTAGACGCCACCACCAGTTATATGCATATTTACCATAGGTAAACTGAAGAGATCTTGATTGGCGGCACGAGCCGATGTCCGGTGAAGAGGGAGATGTAGACGATATAATGCCCGAGAGCTGTTAGCTTGAGTACGGTGATGCATGAATATCGTAACCTGGTTTACCACGAGCCAAGTGAGCATGAACCCGAGAATATGAATGAAGTGCAGGATGCACGCAGAAAAGACGTACACTTAGTTAAATACTGAGACATGACCCATGATATAGTATATCTTCATTAGCTTTAAGTGTGCCGGGATGAGTCATAGATGCTGATGAGCTGATTGAGTGATTAAGACTGTCTTCTATCATCTGAAGTGAGGATGATGAAGGGACGCTAGTGTTAGATGCAGCAAGTGTGATAATAAATGTGTAGAAATAGTGGAAATCTGAATGATCTCATGCAGATATCCCCCCCAAAACGGAGGATGTGCAGTGCACGTCCTTAAGTCGGGGAAAACACGGTCGTCGTGAGGCCGGCGGATGCTACGTCCAGGAAACGGGAGATGATGCGTGCCGAAGAATCCGCATGCAAAGTACGGTTGCCCGGTGAGGAAGAGCAACTGTCGTTGAAGACGTTTATGTGGATGCACGCAGTTGGTTAGAGGAACGATAATACCATGAGCTTGATGTGATGGCTAGGAACTCCGGTGTGAGACTGGGCCTGTAGTTCCTCATGATTAGGAACGCTGTGCTCCTGGAGGAGTCTCTTCTGTTTCTTCTTGTTTCTTCTTCTCTTTTCCCAGTTGAGCAGAGTTGTAGTTTAGTAATGTTGTATTTGAACGCTAGATGCGTGAAGGCAACGCATTAGGAGATCTCCCTGAGCAGTGGGTGATTTGAACTGGGGAGAGACGCTATTAATATTATTACCTGAATAGCCGGTGCACGCGTAGTTTCTCCTACTTGACTTAAGGCTGAAAGAGTTCTGCTGAACGATGATGGGAACATTAAAGCGCGTCGTAATATCTGCTTTGAAGAGCCAGCCTTGGCCTGCACGCTATTAGATTACATTATCTCCGTGCGTAGAAAGGGGGGAACATTGACCTTGTCATCGAGATTGCCCTGAGCATTTACCGAATCGTATTAAATAATCTGTCGACAGGCTGTAAACAGGAAAGCTGAAATTGAAACTAATAAATATTCAGTTACCTCTAATCATTAACCCAGTTTGTATAATGTAGTTACTCTGTGTGTTGCTGCTAGCATACATAACATCTGACGTGGGAACGTTACTCGTGAATGGAGCTACGGAGCTGCTAGAAAGACAGTGGAACCCGGTGCATTCCTCCGTCTGGATGTAGAGCACTTTTGCTAAATGTTTAGACAAAGTGCTCGTGTTACGCCCTTACATGATAAACTCTATTGCACTTTGGCAACGAGCATTCTCCACATCGAAGAGGGTGAAGTTTAACCACGCCTCGGAGCGCGTTCTCTCCGCCACCTTCGCAGTGTACTCCGCTGCATGTAGCAGCTGTGTGTGTAAACTGCCCCGCCCCGTCGCGATGGGGGAGAGAGATCTCATCTGATCGAAAATACATCATAGGCGCATTTGTTTGTCCTTTGCATATTAGAACGAGTTGTGACACTAGACTGCGATATAATGTTTTTGTAGCAATAAACATGACGTATATTTATAAATGTCTCCGGTACTGATAAGAAGACCAATAACGTTGGAGCTTACGCACGTAAACAAACTGCTGACGTCACAATGAATCGACGACTGAATTAGTTGCAACTAATTTGGTAATCGATTTGATCGATTAGTCGATTTAGTTGTTGCACCCTTAGTCGCTGCAACTCTGACTACTTTTAAATCCAGGCTGAAGACTTTCTTTTGTCGCTGCTTTTAATTGAACTATTCATATCTTAGACTGCACTGTAACTTTGATCCATGTACTTTTTCTTTTAATGTTTATTTTATTAGCTTCCTTTTAAGTGACTGATTTTAAATGCCATTTCTTACTGTCTTTCATTTTTTAAAGCAATTTGAATTGCCTTGTATTGAAAAGTGCTATATAAATAAACTTGCCTTGCTGCCCAGGAGATGTTGTTGTCGCAGATCTAGCCGTTGGTGCACCAAGAAACGGAATATTCTTAGTGGCGAAGAAAAAGAGAAAACCGATCATTTAGTCAATAATCATTAAATTAATATTGGGAGTGAATTCCTAATTTATTTAGTATCTGGTCGTGTCATAAACAGGATAATGTGCAGCGACTTGTCCATTGAGGAAAAGAAGCCCTACGAACGCCATTCATTTCAGGAAACGCTGTGTTGAAGCTTGAACCTGCGTTTAGTTACTGAGCATTGTAATGAGTAATTACCCGACTGCATTAGTAATGCAAGTAATACGTTACTGAAGCTCCATACGGTAGCACGTTACCCCCAACACTGCCTGAAGCTCACCTTAACCCTGACTAGTGGTAGCAATGCCCTGCCTGCCTGCCTGCAGGAGGGGTTGTAGTTGAAGCCAGAATGGGTAAAACTCCGCATGTGATGAGGACCCGTTCCGCGTGAAGCCGGAAGCGCTGCATTAGGCGGCCCTGATGCCAGTGATGCCTTCTCAAGAGACTGAAGCGTACGTCAGTTGTTTGCGTGAAGTAGCCATTCCCATTAGGCCGGAGGAGCTTCCATGGAGCCAGATTTCCTTGTCTTTTCCTCCCGCGTCCGGGCTTGCGGGACGGCCGGCTGGGGAACGCAGCCTGTAGCTTAATCCGCGATACTGCGGAGCTGATGATAAATGCCTGGAGCTGGAACGAAGCCCTCAGCTGGGCCGAAGCCCTGCTGCTGCTTGGCTTAACCATGAACACAGTGACGCGTACACTTGTGCGTTGACACCTGAAATGACAAGTGACAGAGAGGGAAGAGCAGATTTAAAGGGTTTAGCAGGTGCAATGATTGCTAGCTGGGGAGTACCGCCCCTGATTACTTAATGGGAGAGGAGCTTGCAGTGACGTGTAACACCAGGGGTATGGTCTTCCTTCTTGAATTTGCGCTAAACTTCATGTCTGCAAAAATCTTTAGCGAAAGAGTCTTTCAAGACATCCGCGGTTGGTTGTTTAGTTAAAGAGTGAAGCAGAATGTTGAACAGTGTCGTGTAAAGTAAAAATTCTCCGTCAGCTAGGCCTACATAAAAGTAAGAACACCTGTCGTCGGTGAAACGCCCCTCCTTACTGCAGAACGTCTCTCATTATATGTGTTATAATGTTTTTTAACGGACGTTGTCTGATTATATAATCTGTCTGTTGATCTCCAGATTAACAGCAGCATGAGATTAACCTGCCGAAAGTGCCGATGCTCCATGGCGGAGGCTTCGGTAGAAATTGCCAGGATTTGCGTTTTTACCCCCTTAATGTCTGACCAATGGTTGAACGGCATTTCCGTGCATATGACTTGTGTTTAAAGTTTATAGTCCGTTTGAGTTTTGCCCATGTGAACGCAAACCGAACCTTCTGAAAAATGAAACAATGTAACAAACTGTCGTCTGGTGCGCACCAGAAAACGGACTATTAGGTGTGAATGCACTACGTTTGGGTTGGTCTACATTGGTAAAATCACCGCCATATAGATAGAATAACATCTTGAGACTTTTGAAAGTGCCATATGTTTATCCGGGGCCGTTTGGAAGTAAATCTGTGTGTCATCGGCATATGTGTGGAAGTTGATGTTATGGCTCCTCAGTTTGTCCCAGGGGCAACATGTAAATTAAAAAGAGCAGTAGGCCTATATAAGGACGTATACAGTATACATAATATGTTTTTATATATATTTGTAATTGACTGTATTTCCCTGGAGTAATTTTCCTGATAGTAGCCAATTCAATTTAGATCATTTTAAAGCAGTCGCCCATATTTGTTATGGGGTTTAAAGGAGTATAGAGTAAATTAGGCATAAATGATTGCTCACAATTTACAACATGGATGGTTAGAGGCTTACTACTATAGTGTGCAGAATCAATGATTGAATGCACCCCAACCCCACAAACATTATTTCAGGTCTGCCTGAATAACATAATTTTTGACAATTGCTCTACAGCAGGGGTGCCCACACTTTTTGGGCTGGTGAGCTACTTTTGAAATGACCAGCTCACCGAGGTCTACCAACCAAAAATAAAATCCCAAATTGCAAGGGTTGCTGAATAACACGTTTTATGTATACATGGGATAACTACAATAGGGCTGCAACAAACGACTAATTTGATAATCGATTAATCTATCGATTAATGAAACGACTAATCGACTATTCGGACTATTACTGTATGCCTTGCACAATTTCTCAAACCCTCTTATTTAGCCATCAACTTTTAGATTTAGCTTGAGGTTGTTTTAGGCATGTGGAAACTAACAATGAAGACAATAAAGATGAATACTTGATTCAAAAATACATATATTATTAAATTAACAAATTGTGAACAAAACTAACATTGCTTTTTATTTAATTTATTTTTTATTTTATTTAATTAAATAAATAATATTTCACATCAAAAGAAACAACAATGTTTTAACAAATCGTATTAAATAATCTGATGACAGATCTGTAAACAGAATAGCTGAAACTTTAACAAAATAAAGAGTAAATCTGTTACCTCTATCATTAACCCATGTTTGAATCATTGAGTTAACTGCGTGTGTTGCTGCTAGCATACATAACACCTGACGTGGAAACGTTACTCGTGGATGGGGCTGCAGAGCTGCTAGAAAGACAGTCGAACCCGGTGCATTCCTCCGTCTGAATGTGGAGCACTTTTGCTAAATGTTTAGACACATTGCTCGTGTTACCGCCCTCACATGCTGAACTCTCTTGGCAACGAGCATTGTCCACCTCAAGACGGGTAACATTTAACCACACCTTGGAGCGCTTCTCTCCGCCATCTCCTCCGTGTGTTGCTGCTTGTAGCAGCCGCGTGTGTGTAAACTGCCCCGCCCCCTCGCGCACAGACTGGGGAGAGAGATCTCGTCTCGATTGGAAAGATCGAAAATACACCGACATTTGTTTGTCTTTTTGCATGTTAGAAACGAGTTGGCGACACTAAGACTGCGAGATAATGTTTGTGTAGCAATAATACATGACCTCTCTCTTTCTCAACTCGCTACTCGGAGGGAAGTCGCTGTCATATGCCTTGTGAACACTCCGATAATGCCTCTCCACGTTACCTTTCTTTGGCAGAGCGACGCTTGCTTTACAAATAAGGCAAATAACCTTTGAATGTGACATCACAAAACAATATTCTTCCTCCCATTCTGGGTGGAAGTGGTATGTCTTTAGCTTCTTGCTCGGTCCCGCACTCATTTTGTTGTTTGTCTCTTGTTTGTCTCTTTAACTTAATTTGAGTTTTCCCGGCACTTGACTGATTTTGTATCGCTTTGCATTCTGGGTTAACAGACTGGAAAGCGATAGGTCGCTTTTTCTGTCAATCAAGTAAACTCCTGAATTAAGTGGCAGGGAGGCCAAGGGAGGAGGGATCAAAACCTGTTTTGTCTATTTTAACGGAACAGGATTTTTTTTTTATGAATGACTCGCGATCTACCAGCATTGCCCCCGCGGTCGACAGGTCGCCCGCGGTCGACGTACTGGGCACCTCTGCTCTACAGATTCACCCAGAGGGTAGTCCTGAATGGTAAAGACTATCCTGAAGGTGTGGGGAAGACGAAAAAGGAAGCCAAGCAAGATGCTGCTAAAAATGCCCTGAGAGACTTGTCAGAGGGCGCACATCAGGTATGAGTTGCGACAGTAATATTTTCCGTCCTCTATTTTTAACAAGCCCTTACTATTAAAGGTAAAATACCAATCATAGGCCTAAACATCTGCTGTAGGGTGTGACATACTTTTTTTGTTCTCCAGACTACAGTTGAGAATTACAACCCTACATCAGCTCAACAATAGCAGGAACCAAATCAAAATGATTCTGATATCTGGTGAGTAAATCACAAAGCCAGTGCAATGTTTTATTTTCATGTCTTCATCTGTGTTAAATGTCTCTTGTTTATTACAGTAATAAGACAAGAAGCCTCAGTGTCAACTCTCAGGACAACAGCTCTGAACAGAATTTCATTGGATTGGTTGACCACTACTGTCAGAAAAAAAAACACTGCCCTTCATTCATCGAAGACAGAAGACGCGGACCAGACCATAAGCTTCAGTAAGTATGAACCTGAACTTCTGTAACCTGAATAGACAATAAAGTCACTCTATGCTAACTCTTCATTGATTTCCTGTTCTAAACAACATTTTTTTTTTAAAACACAGATTTTTCTACAGATTAACAATCAACGGCAAGGAGTATCCTGTGGCTGAGGGAAGGACTAACAAGGAAGCCAAACAAAATGCAGCTAAACTGGCCTGGTTTGCCCTTCAAGAGCAGTCAGACTGGGACAGCAAGGTATTTTATATTGTGTACTTCTTTAAATCCTCAAAAATCCTCAATTGAAGTGTAATAGGTCTACTCCACAATATAATATTATATATATTATAAAATAGTTTAATACAACAGTGATTGCAAGGTGTACTTAACTGGCAGCTAAGGGTAGTTAAGCAGAAAAGTAGTGGTTTAATTTCCCTAAAGCTGCATTCACAATTTTCTCTTTGCTCACCGTGAAGTTGGGCACAGATCTTTGCAGTGAAAACTGTTAGTTAAGTTTATTTTATACGGCTGTCATCAGGTTGGTTGTGTGTCAAAAGGTTTACAGTAAATTAGGTTATAGTTTAAATCATTTTAACTTTGTGCGCATCGCTGAAAACTATTTACGGGTGGTGCCCGATGCCGAGGGGAACTCTTCCTCCTGGTGGGGCGGCACTACCCTTATTGGTACTAACGGAACTAAAGAACCAAAGTACCAGGGAAAGTCCCGCGGTGTGAATGCGGCTATAGAAACACAACGGCAACATCAGTGCAGAGCCTTTTTACTGCTGGTGCTGTGAAAGCAGCCTAATGCTCTCAGAGACCATATACAAGTCAGCCCTTTACATTAAACATACAAGCAAGGCATTTCATTTTATGTACTTCACCATGAAATATACACTGAATTGACAGTTTATTAGGTTCACACAGATACAATGAATGAATCCTAACACAGTTATAGTAAGGTACACCTACTAAACTGGCACGCAAGGGTAGTTTATATTTCCTGGTGCTTTAGTCAGCCGCTGTACAGCTTTTATTTTTAAAAAACCTTTGCATAAAACAATCAAGCAAGACATTTTTTTTTTCTGCTAGAGGAATTACATTTTATTTTATTTTTTCAAGGCAATGGCCTTTTTCCCCCAAGATGATGTTTAACACACCTTTTCCTTGCATTTCAGGTGTCTGTCAGATCAACACTGTCGGAGGATGGTGCACCGCCATCATCATCATCATCAACTCCACTGTAAGGCACTTTGACTTCTCAGCAGGGAGAGACAAAGTGGGGCCTTTGTCCTGCAATGTCTGAAAAATATTTAAGTTTGGAATAGTTTAACTTTTTGCGGCGAAACACAGCTAGAAAGTACCTGCAGCGCATCCTCTGATGTGTCGTTCTAAATTACTAAGAATGTATTCTCGCCTGAATCACGTGAATTGGAAATAAACAAAGAAAAAATGGAGGATACATGTTGGAATTTGGTGGTATTGTGTGATTAGAGCGGAACATGATATAACAGAGAAAAAGCTGTACTCATGTCTATCCTTGTATTCCCCTAGGCAGTCCCATGAGGCATCATCACAAAGCACGTCAGCGAGTACAAGTTGCTCAATCAAATTCACAGATACATCCAACCCTTCCAGAGCCCAGGTATGTTTTCTCAGAATTGTAAAAGCAAATCAGACAGTTGGGAAAATCACATTAAATAATTTGATGTGATCTTTCAACAGGGCTTCAAATATATCATCTTATAGAACATGCTACATTCTAACAATTACCTGCTTTTTTTGTGTAGATGCCCTTAGGGTCTGAAAATGGTGCACCATCCAGGTTGTCGACTTCACTGTAAGGCACTTATTTAGCCTATTATTGAATCACTATTGAGTGTATAGCTTATTGCTTAAAAAAGTTGTACCAATACCTCTCATTATGTTCCTCTAGGAAGTCTCTTGAATCATCACAAAGCATGTCCTCGGGTACGAGTGGCTCTGAAATATTCACAGATTCATCAAACTCTTCCAATGATCAGGTATTATTAGCTATATTCTAAATACTCTATATGTGGAGAGGGCAACAGAATATTTGTGTGATTATTAAAGAGAATACAACGTCATAATCAGAGCACAGTTCAAAATGTTGAATCTATGTCTTTATCTTATCCTTTAAGCATGCTGTCAAAAAGAAGACATCCACCCCTTCAAGGTATATTCTGTCAAAATAAATCTCTCTGCCAATTATTGATCTACCATCAAGAACCCTTTTTTCCTAAATAATAGTGATGATCTCGACAGGTTTACTTCAGACTTTGATCCCATTGAGTATCTTGGCTTTGGAGGCTACGGTTCGGTTTACAAAGCAAGGCGTAAACTAGAGGAGAAGTATTATGCTGTAAAGATTGTAAGCAGTGACGAGTAAGTATGCAGTAAGTTTCAACTTTGCATTATGCAGTATGTATGTAAATATTTTGTTTACTGATTCCATGGTTGTTCTCCTTTGGATCAGGAAAGCTTTTCGAGAGGTGGGGACATTATCAGACCTCCTCCACCATAATGTCATCAGATACTTCAATTGTTGGATCGAGGATACAAGATACCAAGACGACATTTCAGCTGGAAGCTCAGCTGGTGGTTACAGCGGTGCCCAGTAATGTCCACGTCCTAACCTTAAACAGGCGATATATATATATATATATATATTAGTGTTGTCACGATACCAACATTTTGGTTTCGATACCGATACCAAGTCAAGAATTGCGATTCCGATTCTTTTTCGATACTTTTCTTAAAAAAAGGGAAACAGTCTTAAATGTAATTAATTATTGTGCTTTATTTCACACCAGAACCATAACCATAACACAAACTTTTAAACAATGAGAACAATAAACAAAATAAATGACAATAATTCGTATTAAATCAAATTAAGCATCATCTCAAACAACTTTTTTGTTTTATAAAATATATATATTTTTTATATTTGATTAACATTTAATAGTACAGTAATATAAATAATTATTGACAAAATGTATATTGCAGATGTTAGCCACATTGGTAAGTTAGCTAAAAAGATAGCCATATTAGACAGTTATCAGTGCTTAGCCAAGTTCATGATGTGTTGGCTCCCTTGGTTTGCAGGGATCTAAAACATGTCTCACAGACAGGCCTCGTGGTGTCCGTAGGCTTGCCCTCACTGTCAGAGATATAGCTAAAATACTTCCAAATTTCGCTTATGGCGTCTTTGTTGTCAACAAGCCGAGGCGCAGCGGCAGTTGCACTCCCACTTGCTGCCATGCTTCTCGTTTTCTCACATGCTCTGGCAGCTAGCGCGTGGCCGCGTGCACGAGAGAGGGGAGGGACTTAGAACGTGCTTGAGAGGGGCGGGACTGCAGGGCAGGCACGCAGTGTTGCCAACTTGGCGATTTTCTCGTTAAATTTGGCGGATTTCCAAACCCTCCGGCGATTTATTTGTGTCAAAAGCGACTAACGACTAATCTAGCGATTTATAATGGTGTTATTAGCGACTTTTCTGGTGTTTGGAGACTCACATTGTTCTGCAGTTAACGAGCCGCGGGTGCTGCCGTGAGCCCCGCCTCCCTCCCATAGTACTCACAGGCGCTCAGACTGACAGTTGCCTGGCCGCAGCAGAGCTGCTGCTGCAGTCAGAGCAGAGAGGAGACAACCACACTCCCCCGCGTCGAGACTGCAAATGAATTGCGCATGCGCCAACTGCCAAGCCGTCCTGGTTTTGAGCGGGATTTAAATGTTGAATGTAAATGTTTCTTCACTCACTTTCACACTATAATAAATAACTGCCTTTGCTTTGCTTTGCCTCACACAGCCTCAGTCACTCAATCACCTCGTCCACTGTGTGTGCCTCTCTGTGACAAGCTAAACATCATGGCAGTCTAAATTGTATTCTCAAAAATACAGAAAGGAGTGGGAATAAAACCCTGAGTATAAAGGATGGTTGAAGCCATTTATTGGAGATGACACACGGGCATACTGCCAAACTGTCTTGTTAAAACCCCAAAACATACTCAAAAGGCAAAGAGATTTCTAATCTACTGTCGTCTGGATTTAACTCCGGTGGTTTCAAGTTTTGATCCTTGAAGGGTTGGGAACGTTTTTTGCCTACAGCCGCCATTACATGATATGCAAATTAGGCGATGACGTCATTTAGCGACTTCTGGCGACTTTTCGCACAGCCAATAGCTACTTTCCTTACTATGGAGTTGGCAACACTGCAGGCACGGCTGCAGTGCAGGGAGTGGAAGCAGAGCGCTGAACACACACGGCTCTTATTAAAACGGCGCTTTCTCACCGGAGTACTTTTCCCCGTCATTCTTAAAGTACCGATACTAATGAAACGGTGGAATCGTACCGTTTTTAACGGCAGGGTATCACGGTACCTTTCAAGTATCGGTACACCGTGCAACACTAATATATATATATATATATATAGCATTTAAAACATATATTTCATTCAGAGTCAGGGCCAGGAATACCTGAACACAGCTCTCGACATGGGGATGGTTGAGCCGACGGCTAGCTGCTAATGGTGCTAACATTATTAGCAGTACAAACTACGGCAAAGGTGCTGACAGAGCTAACGGTACCATTAAGGCCCTGACACACCAGGCCGAAATCGGCCGTTTTCATTAGTCGGACGACGAAGCGTGCCCTGTCGCCCAAACTCAATTTGGTGTGTCCCGCACCGTCGGCCGTGACACGCGTTATTTGGCCTTTCATGAATCGGCCGTGCGTCGGCCACAGGCAGTTGGACAGAGAAATCACTCTGATTGGCTGTTCAGCTAGCGAATCAGTGCATGAGAAGCGAAACGGTTGCTTGAGAATGTCTTCAACAAGCAACACTCCAATGGCTGATAGCTCCAGTGCCGCACAAAACATGTTTTCGATGGACGAGAGTGAAAATTGAACGTACACGCTATTTGTTGTTTGTTTATATCACGTAGTCTGTTCTTCTTCTCTGTCTTCCGGTTGTTGCCTCTTTTGAATGATGAATACACACTACCGCCGCCTGCTGGAAAGGAGAGTTATTGCCACTCACGCATGCGCAATTCGTACGTGCTCGGCTGAAGTCTATTACCTCATTCACACCAACGGTGTTTCAGGGCCGGTTCGGAGCTGGAGCTTGAAAAGCACCGGCTTTTCCTGTTCACACCGCAGCGGACCAGCCTCTTAGCTCCGGAATCCGGTTCATTTCGAGCACCAAAAAATTGTCCGGCCAGAGCAAAAGCACCACATACGTCACGCTTACGTCGAGGCGGGGGCAGGGGCGGGATCAACTCCTGAACAACAACAAAAAGCCGGCGTTTTATCCAGTTTGTACACAACGATGGAGAAACTTCAGAAGCAGCAGTGGTCCACTGAAGAGACCAGCTACCTACTGGGAATCTGGTCTTCCGAAGAGGTACAGAGGAAGCTGGAGCACAATCGGCCATTGTTGTAGTTGTCTGTGTCAGCTGTGAGGGGTTTCCGCGCGCTTTGACTTTATGAAGCAGGCACGCAAACGGTTACGTCATGACGCAAACGATGACGCAATGACGCAGCACCAGTTGGACTCTGGGCAGTGTGAAAAGAGCCGGAGCTAAACCGAAGAACCGGTTCTGAACCTGAAAAGCTCGAGCACGGAGCTTGAACCGGAGTTGCGTTGGTGTGAATGAGGTATTTGTGGTGTGTTCCAGTGCGACACATGGCCAAGACGCAGGAGAACACGCCGACGCAACAGTCTGTGTCGGCGTCGGCATCGGCGAGTTCTCTGGTGACTGCTTGGTGTGTCAGGGCCTTAAGAGGGAAACTGGAGGATGGGTGTAACACTTCCATGTTAGGACTGTATGGTTGGGAGTGGGACGCCTTTATCAGAGGATACATAAGTCCATAGATAACAGGTACTAACAGGCACTCGTAGCTATCCAAGCAATAAACCAAAGAACAGAGAAGCTCGGATTACAACACACAGAGAAGAGACCTTACATTGCTCATTACTATATCTTATCATTTCAAATAGTATTTTACTGCTATATTCAATATTCTGAATTTTGTATAGGCCTATATAACATTCAACTCTACCTTTTAAGTCAGAGGAGAGTATTTTTATAAAAAAAATTCTTCTGTCTTTCTAGGTCTACAGATGATCCATCTGTAAAGTTCCTTTATATTCAGATGGAGTTATGCAAAACGAAAACACTTAAGGAATGGATTGATGAGAAGAACACTCAGTCTCCGCAAGACACAAAGAGAAGACAAGAAAGTCTAAGCATTGCTCAGCAAATAGTCAGTGGAGTTGAATATATTCACTCAAGGGGGCACATCCACAGAGACCTAAAGGTGAGACCAGACTGCAGTGTAACAGAATAATTGGTAGAATAACAAGCCATTATTAGGTGACCAAAATGTCAGAATAAACCAGGCCCTAAAGCATATGCTGCTGTAAATGGGGTCATAATTTACTAAATGAACATCATTCTGTGTTGAAGAAGACTTCAAACTAGCAATCTAATCCATAAAGTCATCAGAAATATATTTACTGAGGTAGTACATCAATGCGAAGCAGGCCCATTTTTCTATGAACTTCTATACAATCAGACCTCTCTCGGAAACCAGTGATCCTTGTGCAGTCCAGTCATAAAGATACTAGGGTACTAGGTTTGCCTCTCAACAACAATAACACCATGATTATTTTAAAACTGTTAGGCAAGATCCTCCCCCGAAATGCTCGAAGCACAAGACATTATTTTTGCTAGAAGCTTCAGTTCACCTAATATTACATGTGAATAGTCATTTAAATTAGAATGAGAATAAAAGTAATACAATCTTTTACTCTCTGCTTTGATAAGGGAAAAATCTATCAGACAGCAAAATGCAACAAGAATTATAAAGAATGTTGAGGGGATCATTCATGATTAGCAGAAGCCTAAAGATATCTTATCAAATTGAACCCTCTTCTGAATGTGACCCACATGTGGTTAAAGATATAATGCTGGTTTAGCCCTTAAGTACTGTTTTTCAAGCTTCTAATTTTCTTCCTCATGTGTTCATTTGTTTCAATTGTTTTTCTTTCTGTGAAGCCTGACAACATCCTGTTTGGACTGGATGATAAAGAAGTGAAGATTGGTGACTTTGGTCTGGTCACCAGAGATGATGACGCTTTGATGGACAGAACAGAGAACATAGGAACCGAATCTTACATGGCCCCTGAACAAGTGAGATGATCTATTCTGGCAACAACTCTTAATTCTTCTATATTCATTTTAACAAATATGTCCTTCGACTGGTTTTAATTAGGTGGACTAATTATGTTCAACTATACCTTTAGTAACTATTACTATATATGCCTAGCACAATAGAGCGGTGCAGGAAAGACTACTAAAACCTGCAAATTAGTTATTTGAACATGTCAAAGATTCCTGAAATCAGGTCTGTGGTTAACACAAACTGAAAATATGTTTACGTTTTGTTCTACGACAGAAAATACATCAGTAATTTCCCCACTGGTGAAGGTTGAAAGCTTGTATGTGTCATAGAGATGGTGGTTGCTAAAAAGTGACTACATAAACTACTAGACTTTATCACGCCGACATGAGTCCTCCTTCAGCTAAGCGGAGGTGACACTAAGCAAAAATCACATTGCTTTTGTTGAGGAAGCCCTTGCGATGCTCACATTTGGATGGGCCTATGAAAATAAAACATCACTGCACCACTCTATGCTCTATTGTTTATTTAGCCCAGTCAAAACTTTTCTTACTGTTGGCAGTGAGAGCTGTACAATGAAAAATCTGAATCAGAATACCTTTATTCATCCCACAGAGGGGAAATGTACATTTGTTACAGCAGGTAAAGAGCCAAAGGTAGCTCAATATGAATAAAGAAGTCATTCATAAAAATATGAAAGATAAAGTAGAAATTACACATCTTACTAAATATGAATCCAGTACCAGTGACAGTTTTGAGATAGCAGCCAGTTGATAGTATTAAAGGTGAAAGTAAAATATGTAAGAACTTTATTGCCAATACAACAAACTGTGAATTAAGTGTGTCGACAAACATAGCCATGAAACAGAACCTGAAGCCAAAACTTAATTTACTTCACTAGCATGACTTGCTAATCTTTCCCTATGAGTTATATTAGTATAACATCAGGCAATTCTGTGTTTTTATTATTTCACAAAAGGTGGGGAAGACATATGATCGAAAAGTGGACATATTTGCTCTGGGGTTGATATACTTGGAACTCCTGTGGAAAGTCTCTTCTGGCCATGAAAGAGGAGAGGTGAAGTATACAAACAAAGACTTGCCGCAAGAATGTTACCATAATTTGTCAGCTTTTCTCTTCTTGTATTTATATGCAACATTCAACTCAATTGTTGAATTATTTGTTTGATTCAGGCTAACTAATATGTTCTTTCATCCTTTTATCACTGCATGAATACCAGGTTTTCACAAATGCAAGAAAACAGATTCTCCCGACAGACTTTTCACAGGCCTTCCAAGAAGAGGTATTACAATGTTCTTATTATCAATTCTTATCTGCAGTAAATTAGTTCCCACATGAGGCAGTACTTTTTTAGACAGGTTTGCCCCGTTACAACAGCTGTCCATCTCTATAGCTGGGGGAGTTAAACAGAACTGCTGCTGTTTATACTAATAACAAGCAGAACAAATAAAAGTATTTGACAAGATATCAATCTCAGTTTTTTTGTTTGAAATGTTGTAGCATGGCAACACAATAGTGTTTGTGCACAGATCTCAGTTAAAGGTGTTGTTTTTTGCAGAACCTAATCATCAAGAAAATGCTGCATGAGAAGCCAGAGGTGCGACCTAAAGCAAGTGATCTGAAGGCACAGCTGGACAAGTTGGCTCAGACAGAAAATGAGCCTCAGAAAAGGGCAACTGTGTGATTATCACAATGAATTGTGATAACAGTTTAACAGTCAAAGATTGGAATGTAAAATCCAATTTTATCATGATTTCAAAAAGTAACTCACATATGTATCTGTCCAGCTGTTTTAGATAATCATGTGCTGGTAATTTCTGTGTCCACAGTTGACATTTTATTCAATGCTGGGGATGGTCAAATGTATGCATTACATCTTTTGTTTTCTACTAAATATGTTAAGTTTGAAAATAAAATAATGGCAAAAGAAATATGACTTACAAATGTCATGCATCTGCATACATGTACAAGCACACACACTCACACGCAATTCTTGTAGACTGTATGGTAGGTGTCTGTTTATTTAATCGTGGACATCCGTATAATTAACAAAGCTCACTTTTGAAGTTGAAAAGCGGGAATTAAACATTGCAACAAAACAAAATGGACATGGTAAGTGTTTTTTTAATTTGTTTGTTTAAAGGGAGGAATACATTTGGTCCATGGTGATTCATGACGAGGCAATAACATAAAACACTGGTGGCAATGTAACAAACAGGTAGACCCACATTTTATTAGTATATCTTACAGTAAAATATCCTTCAAAAATATGTCATCTAATAACATCAACACCTAACTGAGTTAGCCAAAACAAACAGCAGCTTTTTTTTGGTATTATATCTTATAATCTTTCACAATCTGATTGCCCTGTTGAACTGTATTTACTTTTAACAAATAATCATCTCCTGGTTAATTACTTTGATGTACAAATACCACCATCTATAATATATTTGTCATTTGGCTGACATGACTACATTCATGTAACAACAATAAACTTTCCAAACCTGCCTAACCTACTGTGCCCAACCCAACCCCGCAGCCAGACACTGCCGTTGCCGTTGTGGCTGTGGCAAAAGTCATATACTGAGACATTGGGTGCATAAACCAAAAATAAACCCTTTATGCAAGGGATGCCCCTTTTTTAAAGTATACCTGTGATATTGTATGCACACCACTGTTCCTGAACGAAACTTTTTTGAGCGATTTTGTCAGCCTTCTTTCACATGTGTAAGTTAGTTAAAATATGTGTATGGGTGGTGGTGGCCAGTTGGAAGTATGTAGAAAAGCAGATGTCAGGTTAAAACAAATGCAAGTAGATCATGAAAAAAATATCTAAACATAAATACCAAACGATCAAATCTAAAACGTCAATGGTCTAAAACAGGTGCAACACAAATGTGTTAACTATAACAATGTAAGATTTGTTTTTTGTCTGGATTCATTTATCAGTAGGCTATTGTCAAGCCACGTAACGTTATGACGTTTACTGTAGACGAGGAAATCGAAACTCAGTTGTATCCAAAGTCAGCTGAATCGAAGCTGCAAGGATATAAGCAGGATACATACCGCAGCAAAAATTGAACAAAAATGGGGAATCAAAGAACTGCTGTGAGCGGTGTACTTCGATGTTATCGTTTTATGTAATTTAGGATCGAATTTTGACTTAATTTAAGATGGAAAGTGGAAATGATGTTGACAAACTGAACAAGTACGCGGAGGGAAAAAAATGGTTACTTGAATATGAGGTCCTTGGCTCTGTTGGCCCAGACCACAATAAAACGTAAGTTTATAACATTCCTGTTACCCGTGAGTTTTGCTTAAGCCTTCCTGTGTAGGCTACAGTAGCTATATTATTCTGTCGGAAGACTCGGAACGGAGTGGGAGTGGTTCAATATCAATGTTGTTGGACTTCTCACAGAAAAACAGCTTAATGGTTAATACATACACTTAAAGAATAATTAAACTACTTTTTGGTTGGTCTACATTGGTAAGATAACATCAACTCAATACAGAATACAGTAAATGTAGGCCTAAAGCCCTGCATGTTCATAATACAGTAGCTCACACTTTTCACTCACACAGTGATCGGTCATTTCTGGGTGATTACTTCCTCATATGTAACTTTTGTTTATAACGAATGGCATAAATTAACTTATTCCTTATTAAATAATCGCCAATGAAGTAGACATTATTTGACTTTACTGAGCTTCTCAAGGGGTTGTTGATTTTACAATGTCCTAAGTGCAAGTAATCAACCTCTACAAGAACAATAAACAAATCATGACATATAAGGACGTTACATATACATAATGTGTTTTTTAAACACATATTTGTAACTTACTATATGTCCCTGAAGTAATTTTCCTCCTGATAGTAGCCAATTCAATTGAGATCATTTTAAAGCAGTAGCACATATCTTGTATGGGGCTTAAAGGAGTAGAGTAAGTTCATAACAATTTACAATATGGATGGTTACTAGAGGCTTACTATTATAGTGTGCAGAATCAACTGATTTAATGCATCCCAACCACACCAACATTATTTCAAATCTGCCTGAATAACAGAATTATGACAATTGCTCTACAGATTCACCCAGAGGGTAGTCCTGAATGGTAAAGTCTATCCTGAGGGTGTGGGGAAGACGAAAAAGGAAGCCAAGCAAGATGCTGCTAAAAATGCCCTGAGAGACTTGTCAGGGGGCGCACATCAGGTATGAGTTGCGACAGTAAGATTTTATTGTCCTGTTTTCTTAACAAGCCCCTATTATTAAAGGTAAAATACATGGCTTAAAATGTGCTGTAGGGTGTGACATAGCATTTGTGTTCTCAAGACTGCAGATGTCAATTACAACCCTACACCAACTCAACACAATTTCATTGGATTAATTGACAACTACTGCCGGAAAAAAAACCGCTGCCATACATTCATCGAAGAAAGAAGATGGGGACCAGCCCATGAGCCTCAGTGAGTATGAACCTGAACCTCTGTAACCTCAATAGACACTAAAGTCACTCTATGCTAACTCTTCATTGATTTCCTGTTCTAAACAACATTCAAACGTTAAAATTATGAACTAAACTCCTCCTTTTAAAAAAAACACAGATTTTCCTACAGATTAATAATCGAAGACAAGAAGTATCCTGTGGCTGAGGGAAGGACTAACAAGGAAGCCAAACAAAATGCAGCTAAACTCGCCTGGTTTGCCCTTCAAGAGCAGTCGGACTGGGACAGCAAGGTATTTTATATTGTGTCCTTCTTTAAATCCTCAAAAATCCTCAATTGAAGTTTAATAGGTCCACTCCACAATAAAATAGTTTAATACAATGGTGATAGCAAGGTGTACTTAACTGGCAGCTAAGGGTAGTTAAGCAGAAAAGTAGTGGTTTAATTTCCCTAAAGCTGCATTTACATGGTACACCATTTTCTCTTTGCTCACTGTGAAGTTGGGCACAGATCTTTGTAGTGAAAACTGTTAGTTAAGTTTATTTTATACGGCTGTCATCAGGTTGGTTGTGTGTCAAAAGGTTAGCAGTAAATTAGGTTATAGTTGAAATCGTTTTAACTTTGAGCGCATCGCTCAAAACAATTTACGGGTGGTGCCCGATGCAGAGGGGAACTCTTCCTCCTGGTGGGGCGGCACTACCCTTTCCATAGAAACGCAACTGCAATATCAGTGCAGAGCCTTTTTACTGCTGGTTCTGTGAAAGCAGCCTAATGCTCTCAGAGACCATATACAAGTCAGCCCTTTACATTAAACATACAAGCAAGGCATTTCATTTTTTCTGTTTGATGGATTTAATGTATTGTATAGCCTCTTTTCTTCTGATAATGTCTAATGTTATGTCAAACACCCTCTCTTTCATTTTAGTTGTCCGTCAGATCAACAGTGTCTGAAGGTGGTGCACCGCCTGTGTTGTCAACGCCATCAACTCCCCTGTAAAGCACTTACTCTGAATTCACACCTGGGAGTGGCAAAGTGCTGACTGTGGCAAGCGTTCATGCGTAAAGCTGCGCGTACCGCTCCAACCTCAGCTTTTTTTTAATTTGCGGCAATGTGCGGCCACACAAAAGTTGGGGATAGTTTAACTTTTTGCGGGCTAGTGTGGCTGGAATGTTCCGGCAGAAAACCCTAATGCGTTGATCTAAAACAAAATGGAGGATGCATTTTCAGTTCACATCGGAATTATTTGTCCGGCAGTGGCTCAGGGGCTTGGACTGTGGAGAGGGTCCCAGTTCCCCTCCTGGGCCATGCTGTGGTCCCCTTGAGCAAGGCATTGGACTTCCCCCCCCACTCCCCATTGCTCCCCGGGCGCTCTACAATCCTAGTTCTTTGATGGGTTGAATGCAGAGGTGAAATGTAACTTTGTGTGCTGTGTGCATGTATGTGTGACTATTAAATATGGTTTCATCCTCCTCTTCTATATCCATTAGTGACACATGACAGAAATAAATAGCCTCACCCCCGCAGAAACATTTAGTTATTGCTGCAAGAGGCACTTCGCTGCTCCCCTGTATGAATTTTGCATTATTGCCATTGGTATGAAAGCAGAACATGGAGTGAAATACCAAGAAGGCTTTACTCATGTCTGTCCTTGTATTCCCCTAGGGGTTCGTATGAGGCATCGTCACAAAGAACGTCAACAAGTACAAGTCCCTCAATAACATTCGAAGATTCAACAAACCCTTCCCAAGCTCAGGTCTGTTTTCCCGGCATCTGACCGTGGTGACATTAAATAATAAACATGATATTGAAAAGGGCTCCAAGAGGTACATTATTTGATTTGGAACATGCTACATTCTAACAATTATCTTTTTTTTTGTATAGATGCCCTTAGAGTCTGAAAGTGATACCCCAACCAGGTTGTCAAATTCACTGTAAGGCACTTATTTATCCTATTATTGAAACAGATTGTATAGCTTAACGTGGGAAAGCTGTAACAATGCCTCTCATTATGTTCCTTAGAGAGTCTATTTCATCGTCACAAAGCATGTCCACGGGTACAAGTGGCTCTGGAATATTCACAGATTCATCAAACTCTTCCAAGGATCAGGTATGTTCTTTATACCACAATCTTTTTTGATTAGATTTTATTATATCTCTTACAAGACAGATATAACAAGTTAAACAGCCATACATTACAAAACTAATGCTGGAACACATGCATGCACATGGCCTTGCATCAGTACATGGTTTTCATCCAAAACATATATATTTTGTTGTTATTATTTATTTTGGTTAATTGTTTAACACTGTTTAGCTGGAGTTAGAGCTACATCTATGTTCAATATCTCAGAGTGTATTTTCCAAGTACATCCCAGAGGGCCTTAACAGCTGAGAATAGAGGACCATAACAAATTTACAAGGGTGCACACCTCCACTCAAAACTATGGCAGCATAAGCCTGAGAGGGTTTGATTCATCCTTTTAAGTGTAAAGTGGGTGATGTATACTCTGCAGTACAACACATTTGGACAGTGATACTGAGTTCCAAAGGTTTTCCCGCTTGCTTCTTTGTACTTCTACCCCACTACATCCAGAGGTGTCAGGGTTGGGGGTTATCAGGACCCAAACGCAGAATGAGGAGAAGAGGTGCAAAGTATAACAAAAAGCTAGCTTTATTTAACAAAAGCTGTTGACAATGAACAAACAAGAAAAAACCTAAAATCCATAAACCAGTAGCACGAGGAAACATCCAGGCAAAAACCCGACAGGGACAAACATGGAGGTGCAAGGAAGACAACGACCGGACATGGAGCAAAGGGGAAAACAAGACTAAATACACAGAAGGGTAATCACAGGACAAGACACAGCTGGGCAGGGGAGGCAGAAACACAAGGGCAACAGGTGAACACAATGAGACAATCAGACACAGGAGGGTAAACACAGGAAGGAAGACCAGACACAGGGAGAAAATAAATTCAAAATAAGACCAGAAACTAAACACACAAAACTAAAATCATGACAAGAGGTAAAAGTGTACTTTTACTGCACTACATTTATGTATTACCTTTAGTTACTTTACATATTTGAATTAATAATGTGAAATTTAAACAACACTTAAATAAGACTTTAGTTACACCTGGAGTAAATTCACAAGCTACCCTGCAGTATACATTAAGTCATTACAAATTGCTTTTACCAGCTTTGATAACACTAATCAGAATCATCAGAATAATCAGAATCAGAATGCAGCAATGATTATAATTAAAACATATAATATATACTATTCTGAAATGGGCCAATGTGCACAATGAGTACTTCATGCTAATACTTTAGTACTTTTACTTGAGTAACATTTTGAATGCAGGACTTTTACTTGTAACAGAGTACTCCTACACTTTGGTAGTTTTACTTTTACTTAGGTACAAGATCATAGTACTTCTCCCACCTCTGTCAGAATCTGTGATGTGAAAAACTGTGAAAGCTGCCTACTCGATATGTGTAGAGGGCAAAATAATAACCGTGTTATTATTAAAGAGTATACAACAATGAGAGCAGGGTACCACATGTTGACTATACCAAATGTATCTTATTCTTTTGTACTCTAAGCATCCTGTCAAAGACAAGATCATAGGAAATACTGAAAATCAGACATCCACCCTTTCAAGGTATGAAAAGAACCCTCTTAAATATCTCTCCCAACAATTGTTGTACAATCAAGAACCCTTTTGCCTGAACAAAAGTGTTGATCTCGACAGGTTTACTGATGAATTTGATGTCACTGGGTGTCTTGGAAAAGGGGCCTACGGTTGTGTTTACGCAGCAAGAGACAAACTGCTGAAACAGGGTTTTGCTGTAAAGATTGTCCGCAGTAACGAGTAAGTATGCAGTAGTACAGATCAACTTTGCATTATGCAGTATCAGTATGCATGCAAATACTTTGATTACTGATTCCATTGTTGTTCTCTTTTGGATCAGGAAAGCTCTTCGAGAGGTGGGGACATTGTCAAAGCTTCTCCACTGTAACATCGTCAGATACTACACATGTTGGATGGAGGATTCAAGATACCAAGGTCACATTGCAGCTGGAAACTCAGCTGGCAGTTTCAGCTCTTCCCAGTAAGTCCAATACACTAACCTGGATCAGGCTATAGACAGCATGCAGAGCATATCTTTGATTCAAGGCTGGGCCACGACTACCTGCACATGGCTCATAAAGCATAAACATTAGCAAAACATAAAGAGAAGAAGTGACTTTATCAAAAAGAGAGCAATATTATCATGTTTCTCTCTCTTTTCTTAGGTCTATAGAGGATCCATCAGCAAAGTACCTCTATATTCAGATGGAGTTATGCAAAACAAAAACCCTTAAGAAGTGGATAAAGGAGAAGAACACTCAGTCTCTGCAAGACTCCAAGAGAAGACAAGAAAGTGTAGCCATTGCTCAGCAAATAGTCTGTGGAGTCGAATATATTCACTCCATGGGGCACATCCACAGAGACCTTAAGGTGAGACTCTGCCGTGTATATCTGAGGCAAATGTTGATATAGACTCTACCTACAATATATGGTACATAGGGTTTTCTCTTCGTGCCTTGAAATCAACTACACAAATATTAGGCTATTAATTGATCAATACAGACCAATTTATTGACCCAATACAAGCAAGCACTGCTTAGATGTAATGCTGGTTTGAACCTTAGCTACCTTTTCAAATCCATTTTGAACTCTTAGGTTCACTTTATAATGTGTTAATGCCTTTTTGTGGGCTAGGTTTCAATTATTTTACTCCTGTTTTTCTTAATAATGGTAAGCCTGAAAACATCCTGTTTGGAGTGGATGAAAAAGTGAAGATCGGCGACTTTGGTATGGTCACCAAAGATGATGATGATGATGATGATGACACCGCTTTAATGGAGAGAACTGGACTCAGAGGAACATCGACTTACATGGCTCCTGAGCAAGTGAGATGGACTGATAATAACTTTTAATAGTTCTTTATTGTTGTCTTAACAAATGTGTTCTTCTCTTTGGCTAAGGTAGGCTATACCTTTATGCCTACCACCGTTAACGATGCTCCCAAATTTCTCATCTTCATCTGTCTTTACTATTTGCAATTCTTATCACAGATAACGGGGAAGACCTATGACCGAAAAGTGGACATATTTGCTCTGGGGTTGATATACTTTGAACTCCTTTGGAAACTCTCTACTGGCCACGAAAGAGGAGTGGTGAGTCTTTCCGAAATGTGTGTGTTGTGTGTTACATTTTTCCAATTTGATAAATAACTTGCCACAACAATTTCACAATATTGTGTAGGATAATGTTTATCATGTACAAATAAATAAATATGAAATATCAGTAATAGATTACTTATCAGTATGGTGTGTAGCAAAACCAGTGTGCTATAGATAGCAGATAGGATGGAACAATATCATTTATCTTCTAATATATCTTGTTACATTTTGTATTGTATTGATTTGTTCTTTTTTATTTATCCTTTTATCACTTTATGAATACCAGGTTTGGAATGATGCCAGAAGTCAGAAGCTCCCTGAAGAGTTTTCACTGACTTTTGCCAAAGAGGTAAATTAACATATTGTTATTACAGACCTACTGTATTTCAAGTTCAAATTTGAGGTACTATTTAACTCAAGTATTTTCTTTTCATGAGACCTTTTACTTTAATATTTGGTTGCAGCTTCTCGAACATAAGGATGTGCTGATGTTTATATTAATAATTGGAATTTATTTATTTTTATATATATACCATTTTGAGGTTGTGAAAATTGGTTGAACCAAACCAATGATTTAAAGGTCTCACTTTAGAAAATAAAAAATATATCCATCAATGGTGAAAATAATCAGCAGATCAATTCATAATGAAAATACCAATTAGCCGCCTTCCTTAAAAAACATTCACTTAAATAAGAGTTTAAATGCAGAACTTGAGTAATATACTTAATGGACTGCTTTAACAGTGTGGTATTATTATTCTTTCTTTAGTAAAGGATCTGAATAGTTCATCCGACCCCCACTCATTAGGAGTCACAACAGAACGGCCGCTGTCTGTATGTAGCAGATAACTGTTTCTAGAAAATATCATTCTCGATATCAGAAATACTGTTGAGTAGTGCTTCAACAATAATGTAGACAGCATAACATTATTGGTTCAAAGATCTCAGTATAATTTTCTTTTGCAGAACGAAATCATCAAGTTAATGCTGCGTGAGAAGCCAGAAGACCGTCCTGAAGCAATTAAACTAATGGCAGAGCTGGAAAAATGGGCTCAGACACAAAATATGGATCAGGAAAGGGCTACAGTCTAATCATCTGGAGATCTCTCTGTTCGATGTCTGTCATAGGATACAATTATTTTATTTGTTATAAATATATGTAGAGAAATGGTTAAGGGATTGACTGCACTTCTCTGGCACTTTATCTGAACTTTAACAAAAAAAGGGACACTATATGCTGATTTTCAGTTTTCATATTTGTATTTTGTGCCTTTATGTGTTAACATGCTTTAATCTTGAAATATATATTTATTTTTCTCTAACTGCCTGCGTTGCAGCACCTCTTTTCACCCTCTGTCTGAAACCAGTTAACTGTGCCTTGAGAATTCTGAATAAATCACCAACAGTGACACCAGCAAACCACTCCCCCCCCCCCCCCCCCACACACCATCACACTTCCTCCTCCATGCTTCACGGTGGAACCACACATGCAGAAACCATCCGCTCACCTTCTCTGCATCTCACAAAGACACAGCGGTTGGAACCCAAAAATCTCAAATTTGGGGTCTGATGACCATTCTTTGTGTTTCTTGGCCCAAACAATTCTCTTCTTCTTGTTCATCCTCAGTAGTGGCTTCTTTGCAGCAATTGGACCATGACGGCCTGTTTCACGCAGTCTCCTCTGAACAGTGGATGTTGAGATTTGTCTTCTACTTGAGCTCTGGAAAGAATGTAATGTAATGTAATCTGAGGTGGTTTCTGAGGCTGGTAACTCTGATGTATTTATCCTCTGCAACAGTGGTAACTCTTGCTCTTCCTTTCCCGGGGGGGTCATGAGAGCCAGTTTCATATAGTGTTCGATGGTTTTTGCGACAGCAAAGTTCAAAGTTCTTGAAATGTTACAGATTGACTGACCTTAATTTCTAGGAGGGTAATGATGAACGGTCGTTTCTCTTGACTGAGTTGAGTGGTCTTGCCATATTATGGATTACAACAGTAGTCAAATAGGGCTCTCCACTGTGCACTAACCCAACCTCTGCACAACACAACTGATGGTCTCAAGCACATTAAGAAGGCAAGTAATTCCACAAATTGACTCTTGACAAGGCACACGTGTTAATTGAAAACCATTCCAGGTGACAACCTCATGAAGCTGACTGAGAGAAGCCAAGAGTTTGCAAAGCTGTCATCAAGGCAAAAGGGGGCTACTTTGAAGAATATCAAATATAAATCATATTCTGGATTGTTTAACACTTTTTTGTTTACTATCACATCTTTCATAGTTTTGATGTCTTCGGTATTAATTAATGTAAAAACGAATTGGTGTGAGAAGGTGTATCTTTTGACTGGTACTGTAAACCTATACAGTAGTATAAAACTACAGGAAAGGGAAAACACCCAAAGCAGAATAGTGCCCCCTTACCTAATATTGTGGGTTTTACAAATGAAATGTGAAATTCAATATTATCATTATTTTAAAAACTAACTCACATATTATTCAAAATGTGTATGTGCTTGTCACTTTCTGTGTCTACTGTTTACATTTTATTAAATGCCGGAGATATAGTAACATGTTTTGTACTGAATATGTAACGTTTAAAAAAATTTAAAAAAGTATTTGGGTAAGAATGGTCATGCATCTACATTGAAATGTACAAGCACACACACTGTACTGTAGTAACATTTTCAATTATTTATGCACTGTCGTAGATAGAATCAAAGAAGATGACTTTTGAAATACAAAGGCAAAATTAAAACGTTTTTGAAAAGGCAGTATATTATTTATCCAGTAGTAGGCGGTAATGCAATGCTCGGATGCCTCTAAAAATCCCAAAAGAAGAAGAAGAAGGAAATGGATGCAGCCAATGGCTAGGTTCGGGAGAAAAGGGCGGAGGTTTAAATCTCTGAGTTCAGGACCATGATAGGCAGTGGTCGTTTGGCAGGAGACTACGTGCATCGGTGATTGTATTGTGCATCAAGGGTTTAAAAATGGGGAAAACGAAAAACTTCGTAGCAAAACTGAAGAAACAAGCACGAAAAGCACGCTGGGAGTTAAAATATGAAGACGTGTGCTCTGAGGAACCTGAGCCCAATAAAAGGTGACTTAAGCTAAAACTGCTATGCTTGCTAGCTTCTTCGAAAGTTCTCGAAGCCACTGGAAGCTTCTGTTATGGAAAGTGTAGCATTTACCCAACATGGTCTTACCAAACCAACTTCAACGTGTTTACATGTAAAGTGTTTACCCTCGATGTAAGGGCATACTTCTGGATGTACTGTCACGTGTAAGAGGTTTTATCCTAGGGGTATGGACTGCGATCAACTCAGCCGTCTCTCGCATTTGCTTGGTCAAATGAGCGGCTCTTCATTTTTGAGTGCGCGATTAATAGCGTATTTACGGTAATCGCCGAGAAGCGGCACTGACAGTAGTACAAGAGTAAACGAATGCATGTTTTTTCTGCTTTATTTGCGATACAAATCATTTTTAACGTAAGTTCTTAAAAAAACTGACACTGTTTGACTCAGTCCTAATTTGACTGCTACCAACAATAAAATGAAGTACTTTTACTGTGTTTTTTTTCTGGGTAATACTCTCTCAAAGTCCCCTCCTGAGAACAAAATCATGCCACTTCTGCTATATTGGATGAGATAAAATGATTTTTTGCAATAAGTTCTACATGAAATTGGTACTGTTGGACTCAGTACTACTTGGACTACTACCACAAGTACAATCAAATACTTTTACAGTGTACTTTTTGAGTAATCACCTGTCAAACTCCCCTCCAGAGTACAATAATGCATGTTTTCTGCAATCTTTGATGAAAGATACAATTATTTTTTGCTATAAGTTCTCAATAAAATTGGTACTGTTGGACTCAGAACTACTTGGAATACTACCACAAGTACAATTAAGTACTTTTACTGTGTACTTTTTGAGTAATACTCTGTCAAACTCCCCTCCCGAGTACACTAATTCATGTATTTGCTATATTTGATTAGGGATAACATGATTTTTAGCCATAAGTTCTTAAAACAATTGGTACTGATGGACTCAGTACTTGTTAGACTACTACCACAAATAGAATTAAGTACTTTTACTGTGTACTTTTTGAGTAATACTCGTTTAAACTCCTTAGTACACAAATTAATGTATTCTGATATCTTTGATGAGAGATAAAATGATTTCTTGCAATAAGTTCTACATGAAATTGATACTGTTGGACTCAGTACTACTTGGACTACTACCACAAGTACAATCAAGTACTTTTACTGTGTACCTTTTGAGTAATCCTTTGTCAAACTCCACCCATGAGTACAATAATGCATGTTTTCTGCTATCTTTGATGATCTTTGATACAATTATTTTTCGCAATAAGTTCTTAGTGAAATTGATACTGTTGGACTCAGTACCAATCAAAGATGGCAGAAAACATGCATTATTGTACTCGTGGGGAGTTTGACAGGGGATTACTCAACAAGTACGCTGTAAAAACACTTAATTGAATTTGTGGTAGTAGTCTAACAAGTACTGAGTCCAACAGTATACATTTTATTAAGAATGTATGGTAAAACGTATTTTTATTGAAAAATATAGCTCAAAAACATGCATTCTTTTATTCGTGTACAGCTTCTCGGCGATTACCGTAAATACGCTATTAATCGCGCACTCAAACATGAAGAGGTGCTCATTTGACCAAGCAAATGCGAGAGACGGCTGAGTTGACCGCAGTGGGTATGGGCATGCCACTGATGCCAGTGACACTAAAAGACTCAAATTATATCCAGACTATAAGTACATGTGATGAATAAAGATGTACAAGCTAGAACTAAAAAATATATCTGAACTAAATATAACACTGAACAACACAGCTATCATAGGAAATAAAGGGGATGACTGGTCTAACAAATATTACACTATATGAAAAGCAGTAGAGTTGAAACAATGAGAAGTGTGCAAATCAGAATCAAGTTTATTGCCAGGTACGTTTACACATACAAGGAATTTGCTTTGGTGTCTGGTGTTGCAAACAAAACAGAGTGCACCACAGCCTTATACATCCAAGACCACAACACTGAGGCAGTCATCATGTCAAAGCATTCACTTACATTAGACCTACCTTGGGTCTATGTGCAGATATGATCCAATCTCTCCATATTTCAGTTAGACATGACGAATGGAACAACTTGTAATACAACAACATTGCATTAAACATTTATTTTGTTTTAAAACCAACATTTGTTATTGTTTTTATTCTCATACTACAATGAAAATAAACTGCACCCTTGGGTTTCTTGAGACATATGGACAAGCCAAAAAGATGCAACTTATAGGCTATGTTGATATAAATAATGAAAGGATCACTACTACTTTCTAGTATATTTGTATATTTTCATATATTTGTATTTGTAATCTATCTATCAACCTGTTACGGCCCCCGTTATTTAAATTAAATAATCTATGATGAAAACATAGCATAAGCATTGAATAAAATCATCATATATATATATAAACACACACACATTGCTAATTAATCGTGTATTTTTTATTGTGCAACACTGTCACAAGGCATCTTGACTATAACTATATGTTTTACCACTCTTCATTAGATTCTTCACGAGGGCTGTGGTCAATGGTCAATCCTTTTCCATTTGTGTGGGAAATAACCCAATGGAAGCCAAGCAGAATGTAGCTAAAAGTGCCCTGAGAGGTTTGAGAGAGAAGGAGAATCCCAAATCAGTGGTAGGATGCTTGTTTGTCAAATTTTTTTTTTTAAATGGTCTGCGCATAAGATAATTTTCGCATGAACATACTTTTGATTAATTACTTTCTAATCTTACATTTTTTTCATGAGATAGTAGTTATTATTGATGTATGTTAATGGCAGTATTTTCTTGTGTACGTTATTTGTTTTTGTTCTTCTGTCCATCATCTTGCATTTATTGTCCGGATGTGCCTACTTTGTTAATATTGTTTGCGAAATGTAGCTCTTTGGATTTATTATTCTTTTCTTTCCTGACTTTCAGACAGAAAAAGCTGCAAAAGTTCCTCAGAAAACGGCCACTAAAGTTTTAGGCGTGCTAAATGAAAATGTTCCGAAGGACAGGGTGAATAGAAAAGCTGGGCAATCAACCAGACGGGAACCACATGATGCTCCCCAGTAAGTCTCCACATCTCCACATGGCACCCAAACATAATTTGTGGCTGTTAATTCAAAATCTTAAAATGCATCAAATCCTGTTTGTGTAACAATAGATGCTCTAGCTTTGTGGTTGGTGATAAGGAGCATCCAGCTGTTCCTGGAAAACCAATGAAGGAAGCTAAGGAGGAAGCAGCCAAGTTGGAAAGATATGCAACCTTTTTCAGTAGAACTACAGAGGTAAGTTATACACATGCACACTAGGTCTCCTCAATCAATTAAAGCACTTTAAAATGCATAAGTCTAGGTCATTAATAATTTAAATTGGATTATGATATTCAAAGGATCTAGGTGGCTCTTACAAAATAAAACTACTGAATTCTACTTATAAAATGTCAAGATTTGATTTTTAGATGTAGTTATCAGGCTAAAAAAAAGTGCTCCTTGGCTGACCTTGGGCCTCACTTATGAAACTGTGTAGGGTCGCATTCACACTGCTTCTTTACCAGACGCAAGATGGTTACATTGTTTTATTTTTGTAAAGGTTTGGTATGCGTTCACACAGGCAAACCTCAAACGTACTTTAAACTATCAACAAAGTCATGTGCACGGAAATGCTGTTCAACAATTGGTCAGACATTAAGGGGGTAAAAATGCAAATCCCTGCAATTTCTACCGTAGCCTCCGCCATGGAGCATTTGCAGTTTATTTCCATGCTGCTGTTGGAGAGCATATCAACAGACTTTAGCGGACGGCGCATATGATTATATAATCAGATAACGTGCGTATAATGAAACGTTCTGCAGTGAGGAGGATGTTTCACCGACAACAGGTGGCTCTGATGAGATTGTACAGCGGCATTTTTGCTGTTCACAGGGGACCGGAGAGGTAAGCAGTCACAAAAGCAAATAGAGCCTAGCTTATGTTTATAGTTGTTTATAGTTTATAGTTGTATCCGAGAATTAATGAATGATTTCAGAACCAATGAAAGCGTGACCCTATAGGCTACTGTATGTTACACACAGTAGCTCCAAGTTTGTCCCCAGCCGCTCATTTTGTCAGCCATAACTTGCTAACTTCTCCTCCAGTAACCAGAACAGGAGATTACGCGTAAATACTACGCTTCCTATGTTTTGGTGCGGACTGCGTTCACACCAGCGATGAACCGCTCCAAAGTTCACTATCAAGCGGCCCAAGACCACCTCTTTTGGGCGGACCAGAGTCCGGATGTTTGGTTCTCATCAGAGGTCTCGGACTGCGTTCACACCGACCCAAACGAACCACACTAAGGGGTTAATTTTGTATTCGATTCAACTGTACTAAACAAGACTGGTGTGAACGCGACCTAGGATTCAAGTCGAAGGATTGCGAATGAACGAAACTCAAGTGGTTTCGCACAAAAGATTATCTACGCATGCAATTATTCAACCCAGTCTCACGGCATTTTGTGTTATAGTCACAACATTTCATCTATTGATTCGTGTTCACCAACACAATTTTCCCCTTTTTTCATGTCACACAGAACGATTTTAAAAGCAATGTATTTCTATTGGTAGTGTGTTTCGTGCCTGCAACACGTCTTTTTGTCCGGTCGGGTCTTGGAAGACCGGAAGCTGTGGGGTTCATAAAAACATGTTCTTTATATATACAGTCTATGGTTCTTACTCAATATCAAGCCACGATTATTGTTTTGAATTTTAAATCTTATAATGTCTGACTTTTTTTGCCATCAGTGAGGAAAATAAATGGGGCTCAGAGCCTCAAAATACTGAAATCTGTATTTTTGAAAATCTTTTTTTCCTTCTAATTTGTTATTTAAGCAATAGCTCACGACAGGCCGTGGTATATGCTCATTATATCACAGCTAAGGGGCGTGGTTCGACCCCCTTAGCTAAAATAGTCCCTCCGTTGCCTTCTGCACGAAACATAGTGCGAGGTGGTTGCTATGCAACAACACTAACAGCTAGCGAACATATTAGACAGAGAGCGTTGATCCATTATTTGGCTATTTATTTACATTCATTTGTATGTTGCCGTTTATTGTGCAGCCACTGAAAAACTGTCCAGCATCAGTAGCATGGCTTACGTGGTTACTTGTATAGGTTGAGGTTGTTCTAGGCTGTTGCTTGGCGTGGTGAGAATATTGCTCCACTTTCTCCGGTCCCCGAGATTCGGCTTCCAATAGCTCTGGAGAGCTTTCGCACCTGTGGCCACTAACGGTCATCATTTCTCTGCTTTGTTTCAAAACCCGCATCAGAAAGCTTTTGAATGGTGGTACTTTTCCAGTTGGTCTACCTGCTCTTCACGTAGCTCTGCATGTCGTCGTTTAGGTGCTTTTTTTTTTCTGGAGATAGGCACTCCTCAATCCACTCCTCCATAGTAAGACCCCCCCGGAGGTCGAAGTTAATCTTAAATGTTTCCATTTTATGCTTTGTAACAGAGGCGGATTTCGGATTGTAGGAGATCCGGGGCTTAGCCCAGGAGTCGTTGGGTTGGGGGGGGGGGGGGTACAGTGCTATTTTTTACAAGTGGGGGGTGGGCCGAACATCCTTTAGGGGGGTCGTCGCCTCCTCTTGGGGGTCCGGTCCGGGGGCATGCTCCCCCGGGAAGATTTTTTTTTAAATATTGAAGTTGAAAGCATCAATCTGGTGCACTTTGAGAGCAACATTAACCCTACCTTAATAACACCTTAAAGCGGACAAAAGGCACTGGAGAACACTCATTAACACCCTTTAATGAAGCAAACTAATGCCTTAACTCACTCAAATAGTCGTTTACTTATTAAGGTGAAACGAATGTGCGTAGAGTTTTAAAGGATGCGGATAGTCTCACCTTGATTCTAGCGCATTGCTTATCGTTTTATAGATCTATTCTCATCCACCCTCTTTGTTTGTGACGTAAAGAGTGTAACGGCCCGTCCACACAGCGGCGTGCGTTGACGCTTGCCGGCGGGCGTGTCTGACACTCGACCAACAACCAATCACATGAATCTCCCGCCCCTGACACACAAGCAGCGGTTTGATTGGCTAGAGCTTGTACTGGCATATGATTCGATTGGCTGACGCTTCTGCCGAGGCGTCAAAAGTTGAGCATTGCTCAACTTTTGCAGCGAGCCACGCCAGCAACGCTCCGCGTCGCTTCCCACGATGCAGTTCGGCTAAAAGTGACGTCACCCCATTCAAAGTGAATGGGCAGAAGCGTTGGAAGCTTCAACGCACGCCGCTGTGTGGACGGGCCGTAAGAGTCACGTTTCTGAATCGGACACTCTGAGTGGATGCAGTCACAGCCAATCGGAGTCTGATTCAGAGGGTTGCCTGTCAGTTCTGTTGTTATGTGTACTGAAACGAGAGCCGGTATAATTCCACGCGTGAAAACAAAATAAAAATGGTATTGTCTTAAAAGTAGACTGAGTTATGAAGGGTTAACGTTACATCTTAGAATAATTTTTAGTCATGTTCTGTATACATACTAACATATAAGGGTATACTTAGTGTGGTTACTCCATGTTTACTAGCTATAACATTAACGTTACATCACTCTTTTTCACTTCTTACTCAGTCAGCCAGAGTGCATATATCACCATTAGATTAACAAACCTGAAACATCATCCATTTCTTGACTGCTGGTGATGACATTGTTGTCAGCTGCTGATACTGCTGCTGCTGATACTGCTGCAGCTTGTGGCCTGCTTCGATGACAATAACTTTCTAATATCCATAACTGTATATGCTATTAGCTTAAAACTCGTCAGGCACTAGGAAGGATCACTTCTTCTTCAGGGCAGGCTACGCAGTACGCAGGCTAATGTCCCACAGTGGCTGCCTCTCTGGTGCACTCCGGTACTGCACATTACTCCCGAGACGTTTTTTTTTTTTTTTAAAAAAAAAAAAAAATTTTAATTTTTTTTAAGTGAAACATCCGGGGCTTTTCAGAAAACATCCGGGGCTTGAGCCCAAGTAGCCACCCCCTAGCGCCGCCACTGCTTTGTAAGTTTGTTTCGTAACGGAAGAAATGTAAATATATTTATAAAACTGAAAAGTCAAATCAAGCAATCTGATTGGCCGATAGTGTTTTTGCAGACCTCTTTGATTACAGATTTGAATACATCGTTGCTTGCTTTAAAAGTAGCACAATTCATTATGTCAAACCTTGGAAAGTATCTAGATATCCCTGCCCTAATGCCAAAGGAACTGCACACTGAATATGTTTTGCCGTTTGATGTCTATGTCTGGACCGCTGCGTAAAAAGGAGGGTTTCTGCCCCGTTACTTCTCCGCTGCTTTCGTGTTCCAGTTTGCTTTTCAGCCCATATACTGTTTTTCTCAGACGCGGAGGGATACTGACTTGTTGTGAAAAGTAACTTACAATTCTACCCGTGGTATACGCTCAGTATATCACGGCTAAGAACCAATCAGATTGCTCGATTTGACTTGTCCGTTTTATAATCTTTTCTAAATAACACACTGTTATTTACTCAACAATAACACACAATTATCCTTGTTTTTATTTATTTGTTTAATTCTATAATCTCTGGCTTTTTTGGCGTCCGTCAGGAACTGAATTTCAAAATAAAATAACCGGAAACAGATACACAGCCACTGAACTGATTACCCAAGATCTTCAGCTATGGTTTAAGCTCGCTGATTGGATTGTTTAGCCGCAATGTACGTTGTGATATGGTGTTTATGCGATATGAAATCAAAAGAGCATTTAAAAAAAAAAAGAAAATAATACTTTATTCCGAGTGTGCTTGCTTTTCTCTTTGAAAGTCATCACATAACGGCATTGTAATACACGGTTCGGCTGCATTAAATATTACACACCTGCCGTAGTTCTTTATTTATAGACCCTTGATGAGAAGACTTCTAGAAAAACTGGAAGAACTGCCACGGAAACTGAATACGTGACGTGGATCATAAATATATCAGCAATTAAATTACATTTCAATAGCTTACCATTAAATGAATGATATACCTCTGTGGTGTTTTACAAATCATAGGGCTATATTAATGTGTAGAAGTAAAACATGTGAAATAATATAGCAATATGCTGTAAAATTACACATTGTCGAGACGAAAGTCAATATGTAATAATATCTGTGAAAAACGGACTGAGAAATAATTGTGTTTTCGTTTAGAGTATTATTATTATTATTATTATTATTATTATTATTATTATTATTATTATTATTATTATTATTGTATTGTTCAATTCCAAGAGAGGGTATTCGTTTTATTTTGGACCAAGGCTACCTTTCATAAGTGAGCTGTATTGAAAAAATATGAATGCCGCTTCCAGTAACACAGCAACATAAGGGGCGTAGTTTGTGATGGCCGGTCTCTTGTTCTCAAAGCCACGGAGGGAGAACCAGGCGACAGTGTGTGTGAGGCTCCGGAGACGCCGTTGGTATGTTTCTCTGGTGTTTATTGTGGTTTATGTACAAGATCTGTTGCCTCACTTTGCGAGAGTGCTGTTGCGCAATCAACTGCTTTTTACGCAGCGCGGTCTGCCTGTGCTCCGTTTGTTTGCTGTGTAATTTAGACAGCGCAGGTGTTCAGATGAGGTTTTCTCTGGTGCTTGTCTCCAAGGAGAGATAAACACTCTTATTAATTCATTTAAGTTAATGATGTGGTTTTAAAATAAGAAGTTATCCTTTTAATTAAAACATGGTTTGTGTTGCTATTATTATTGAGAATGCAGTGAGGCCTGCAAAATCTTTGTAATTTGTGTTTGCATGTGAGCTAACATTTGTTTGTACGTTGTGTTTTGAAGGTTTTCAACCTGATGAATTCTTGGAGCTGTCTTAAATAAATAAAGACAAAAAGAACAAAATTCGAGTTGTCCAAGCGTCCTCTGTTGCCCTCCCGCCTCTCAAGTCAGGCTAAATCACTGATACAGGCCAAAACCCTAAAGGACTTGACACACATCTTGAGATGTTATACATACATAAGTGTCCTACACTAATAATACAAAGTTATTATGGCTGTGTGTACCTTGTGTGCACCGCCTAGTGGTTAAAGCACGTTATTGAGTTATTGTTTTAATGTGTTATATTTGATGAAAAAAATATTAAGAGTACATACTTTCATAGGGGGAAAGTAGAAGGTCAATGATAGAAATATAGAATATAAATAATCAAGAAGATACTGTAAGTGATCTCTACAATAAAACAGTTTAGTGCAGGGTGTACAAAGATATTAATAGGAGGATGTGCAAAACAGAAAAATGAATTAACCTTAAATTAATAATACTTTAGGTTAAGGTCTTCTTTTAGATAAGAAAAAAGCTTTGGGGGTATCTATCTACAGATCAATATTAAGCCTGACAAAGTACTTCACGTCGAATATATTGCTTTCCTGCAATGTTAACTATGTTGAAGCACTTATTTTAACTGATATTATACATATGAATTATACTCTTATGTATGTAGATAGTATAAGAAATGGGCAGAATATGACAGTTTAATGGTGGAGGTATACACATATTGATAGATGTCTTGTAATGCACTGTTGAGAAACCTGCGACCCAAGTTTTTCATCCATTGCATAACTACACCGTAGTTGTGTATATGATATGTCAATAAACCTTAGAAAATCTTGAAATCTTGAAAGGTATATGCAAAATAGCCATTATATACAGTCTTTAATTAACTATTAGTAGAGAATAACGAGTAATGAATATACTTTATAGGGGTCTGCAGATAAATGTTTAGTCTTCTGGGGGGGGCTGGTCCCGTTCGAATCCAGTTTTGTATAGTCTGCCGTGGTTTCGTTCCATTTCAAAGTGCTGTTTGACGCTCGGCATAACCTTGGCGCACTGCCACTCCAACATCCAATCCCAGAGCTTGAAGATTAATCACGCTAGCTGGGGATTATGGGTAGTGTTGTGTCTTCGGCCATCGTAAACTCCAAAATGTTTTTCGGATTTCATATTGCATTAACACCATATCCCAACGTGCATTGCGGCTAAAACATCCAATCACCGAGCTTAAACCATAGCTGAGGATCTTGGGTAATCAGTTCAGTGGCTGTGTATCGCAATGATGCTCGAAATGTCCCTTATAGGCCTACATCTGTTTCCGGTTATTTTATTTTGAAATTCAGTTCCTGACGGACGCCAAAAAAGCCACAGATTATGGAATTAAACAAATAAATAAAAACAAGGATAATTGTGTGTTATTGTTGAGTAAATAACAGTGTTATTTAGAAAAGAATAACAAATTAGAAGGAAAAAAAGATTTAAAAAATACAGATTTCAGTATTCTGAGGCTCTGAGCGACATTTATATTCCTCACAGACGGCAAAAAAAGTCCGACATTATACAATTTAAAATAAAAACAATAATCGTGGCTTGATTTTGAGTAAGAACATGTTTTTATGAACCCCACAGCTTCCGGTCTTCCAAGACCCGACCGGACAAAAATATGTGTTGCAGGCACGAAACACACTACCAATAGAAATACATTGCTTTTAAAATCGTTCTGTGTGACACGAAAAAAAGGGGAAAATCGTGTGGGTGAACACAAATCAATAGATTAAATGTCGTGACTATAACACGAAATGCCGTGAGACTGGGTTGAATTCTAACATTGGGTTCCCCTTTTAAAAAATCACAATCAACTCAAAATGTGCTACCCATTTGGGCTCCAAACACAACTCCCACGATTGCGCATAAATATCCCCTTTATACATTTGTATTCATACGGCGATCATGGCCTAAAAAGCTAATTTCACATTCTGTGTAATTTGGAAATTCCACAACATAATCACCTTCTGCTGAGAAATGACCAAATATAGAAGCAAAAATGAAGTTGTGTTATTTGATCAAGTTTAAAAGCATTTAACGGAATCTATCAATTTCTGCTGAAAGGACAGATCCCCGCCCCAGCATGTGCTACTGGGATCTGATCATGAGTACAAAGAAACACAGGGCATTTATAAAGGAATCAGGAAACTAAATACACATTACATTTATGAAACCGGACAATGGTCACAGTAGCTCCCTACTGCCTGTCAAATGCTAACGTACACAGGAACAACAGACATGTTACACAAGGGAAGAAACCTCAGATTCACAGCAAAAAGGAGGCCAGCATGACAACTTTAAGAGAAATTATAACTTAAAGAGACTATATGATTAACTGCCTTCCTATTTATTTTTAGATCTCCTCCGGGAATGATGACGTTGCTGCAGCCAGACCACCAACTACACTGTAAATCACTGACTAATGATAACATTTAATTAAATTAATCAAAACACGATACGTTACTAATGTCTCTGTTTGTATTCTCCAAGGGACTCCTGTGATGCAAAATCAAAAAGCGTGCCAATGATTGACTTCACCAATTCATCAAGACCTACCGAGGATGAGGTCAGTCATTTTTTCATCCTTAATCTCTGGAACGGGTTCTGGAAGGGAATATCAATAATATAGTTCTCAGATTATTTTCAGAGAACCTGAGTTGAGTCAAGGCTCCAAAAGGGTTCATATCTGTACAAAGACATGGAATACTGGTAAACTGTAAGAACACCCTTTTTTCTGTAACTAGAAAGAGCTGCCAACTTAACTTGATGTCTTAGACACTCTCCTTTTTATTGAAGGATGTATTATCATGTGGTCCTGGCCCGTTATCGGTGGAAATAATCCCCAAAAAATGAAACACAAAATGTACGTCTTGGGTAATTCTTATCAGTAAGTTAACTTTCTATTTACCCTAGCAAGATGTTAAACAATTTGATACGTCTATGTAAATGCTGCTTTAATTTGACTGGCATCAACATCTATATTTCCTTTTTTTTTTTTTTTTTAAAGGAACAAGATCCTGTTGTGAGGCCCAAAACACGGTAAATCACCTTGAAGGCTGCAGTACATATGGTTTCACAAAATTATAATATTGGTGCTTTTCATTTGATTTATATCTTGTTAGAATCGCAAAAGGTTTCCAAGATGACTAGCAAAGCAGCACTGGGGTATAGTGAACCATTTTAAAGATTAATGAACCGTTTTTTCTATGATCTAAGTTCTAAATTAGAATATCAGGAAGTGAAAACAGGAAACTGTCCCAATGATAAGACATCAACCAAATCAGAAATGTCAAGGTATGGAAAATTCAAACATTAAGGTATAGTTTTGTTTGGCTGTTTTATACAATTAAAGGTAGGGTATGTCATTTATTTCAGAAACACTTTCTGTTATATTCCATGGAATGCTCTTAACATCCCGATAGCAATGAATATATGAAATGCTTTGACAATAAATACATTAAACAAATTTCATCTGTAGAAGCCGTAGCACTGTAAAAAGCACGACCAATCATCTGAGCCGGCCCGGCTAAAATAACTGGATGGCCTACCTGCCTGTCAGCCTTCCATCTGTGCACAAACTTATCTCGTGCCCTCATTGGTCATGTGCGCGTTCGTGTGTGTTGGAGGAGGGCTCTGTAAGGAAGTGGCAGATTTTTTCCGGTTGTGGACTTTCAAATTCTAGCGCACTCGAGCTGGTTTCTCCAAAATTACATACTCCACCTTTAATATACAATAATAAATACTTTTTTTTTCTTTCACTAGGTTTACATCAGACTTTGACTGCATAGAGAATATGGGCGAAGGAACCTATGGTCAAGTTTTTAAGGCAATAGAAAAACTGACTGGGAAGAATCATGCAATAAAAATTGTACAATGTGGAGAGTAAGTCAAACATTATAATTACGTTGCATGTTTTTTATTAGACTTTTGCCAGTGCAATATAACATTTAAAGATGATGTGCAAAACAAGTAAAGTTAAAGTAAAGCTATTTTCTTCTCCTTAGTATTGAAAAAGCTCTGCCAGAGGTGAAGACATTGATAAAACTCCATCACGATAACATTGTGCGATACTTCACCTGTTGGTTGGAGGATTCAGGATACAGTCCAGATGAGAGTGGCAGCTCTACACAGTAAGCGACAATCCGATTTCCAATAAAGATACGTATTTGAGGTATGCACTTCTTCATTTGTCTTCTCTTTCTCCTCCAGGTGTTCTATCAATCCATCGATAAGGTACTTATATATTCAGCTGGAGTTGTGTGATTACACACTCAGAGTGTGGATAGACGAGAAGAATGAGGAGAAATCTCTGCGAGACTCCAAGAGAAGAGAAGAGGCTCTAACTAAGTTTCAGCAAATAGTCAGAGGAGTCGAGTACATTCACTCTAAGATGCTCATCCACAGGGACCTGAAGGTAAGAGAAAGTGGAGGAAAAAAAGTGTATTCCACCACGTCGATCATGAAAACTGCTTGTTCTCAATTAAGACACTTACTTTAGTAAACTGCTATGTCGTATAATGTGAAAACTGCAAACGGCTGCTGTGCCCTCAGAGAAAGTGTAAATTCTCGCTGTCTAGCAATGTTGTCGTTTTTGCAGTGTATTAACCCAATAATATTACTGGTGGCTGCTTTGGGAAGTGTAGAGGTGCATATATAAGATAGTGTAATAAGCCCACATGTGTAACTTTTATGTTTATTATGCTGTGTTGTTGAGGTTGCCCCATCCTGGTTCTCGTAGTGCACTGCATTTTTCCATACTTCTCAGTTTTAACCAATTCATGTATTAAAAAAAGCAAGTGTAAATCCAAAAGTGCGCATATTGAGACACAACATACACGTTTGTTTGTTTATTTATTTCCCGTGTTTAGCCTGCCAACATCATGATTGGGCAAGATGGACAAGTGAAGATCGTAGACTTTGGTATGGTCACATATGACAACGATGCTGAGAACCTGAGGAAGAGATTGATGTACAAAGGAACTCGTTCATACATGGCTCCTGAGCAGGTGAGATGTTCTGTACTGACACATGTCAAAGGGAGAGCTGGGAAGGTTTTACCAAATTTAAAATGTGGGTTATAGCCACAAGAAAAATATGCTGAGAATTTTTATTTTTATTCAAGTGCTGGCATATTAAATGGCAAGTAGTGAAGTCTGTAGTCTGACTCGGTTGATACAACTTTGCAAATTTGATGATGTGGTTGCTTGACAATTAAAACCCCCCCTATCACTAATTTCAGATTTTTCACAAATTTTAAATGTTTTAATCTCAGCCACTTTAATATCTTAAAAATATCAGACTGGTTTCAATAACCATTGGATTAGATTCATGCGTTGACTTTAACACATATATACTTTATACATGTGGATATTAAACATAAACTTACGATATATACTGTACAGCTGCATCTTGCCTTCTTGTCAATATTGTGCTTGTATTGTATCAAAACAGAAACGGCAAAAGACTTATGACCGAAAAGTTGATATCTTTCCTTTGGGGTTGATATACTTTGAACTCCTCTGGAAAATGCCCACGGGTCATGAAAGGGCCGTGGTGAGTTTTCTCCCTACGATTCAAAATTCTGCTAACTGTGTACTTGTCATTGGTAATAATAACCTATTATTTTATGCTGCCAGACATTTTTTTGTTAGAAACTATTTCAGTTCATCAGAGCATGATGGAGCAGATTTGTCAGTTCTGTCATTACAGTAACACGTCCTTTCACTGCACAGGTTCTGACCGACCTCAGAGAGCAGACATTTCCCAAAGAGTTTCAACACAATTTCTACCATGAGGTCTGTTCTTTTTGTACATGTTGTCAATGTACATGCAATTTAGTTGTTTAGTATGTTAACATGCTCTTAACCCTCTTGTGTAACTAGGGACATGTTATGCTTTTAAACTTTTCAATAATTTTAGCTGTGTTAATGCATAGGACATTAGCAAGGCTGTGAGATGTTCTATTTTATGTTGGAAGTTCAACCTTGTCTCTTATAATAAATCTATCTTAAAGTTTAAAAAAACACTCAGACCCTTAAGGAAACAAAAAAACGACTATAATACATTAAAACCAATCTATTTAATTAGCCTTTCAATCTAGAGCCCTGACTTTAAAATTGTAGTTTTTACTATTTTCCACCAATTTAAGCCATGTTCCCATGATTGCCATACGCTGCAAAAATATACAATTTGTTTATTGCACAAAAAATTATATTTACAATCTGCATTTCAAATTAAACTTTGTCTGTTTTCCTGGTGATTTCAATATGTATGAAATACGGCTGAGTGCAGTAATACTGCAGTTTCATAACATTTCTTAATGCCAGTGTTGGAACGTAACCAAGTGCGATTACTCAAGTACTCTACAAAAGTACATTTGGAGGAGCTTGTTTTTTACTTAAGTATTTATATTTTATGCTAATTTATACTTCTACTCCACTACAATTTGGATGCAAATATTGTACTTTTACTCCTACTTTTAATTTACGGCTTTTGCTGCTTTAATTTATCACTGCAGGTCAAGTGACCCAGCAGCACATGAAGTAATTCAAATCAACATTATCTTTATCAAGGATAACATTTAAAATGATGAACCCATTAATTCATTAATCATTATTATACAATAATTTAATAGATATTATTCTGAAATGGGTCATCCTGCATAAGGATTTTTAATTATTGTACTTAAAGTATATTGTGATACCAATACTCTTGTACTTTTACTTGAATTTTGAATGCAGTACCGAGTATGTTAACACTGTAGTAGTGCTAATTTAAATTAAGTAAACATCTTCTTCCACCTCTGCTTGATGCAACAGAGATCTAAGTACCTTTTCTTTTTTTCTTTTTAGTACTTAGTAATAAAGCCAATGCTGTGTGAGAAGCCAGAACAGCGACCTGAAGCAAGTCAGCTCGACGCAGACTTGAAAGAGATCTCCGATAGCTTAGACATTGAAGAAATGCAACGTTGTGGAAGCAGGAGTATCTGATCCTATGATCCTGTTGCCACACTGCCTCCCTAACTTCCAGAATGACACCTCCCCCCCCCCCCCCCCCCCCCCCCCCCCCCCCCCCCCCCTTCTCCACTCTCTGTGTTTTAATATCCTAAAAAATATCCTATTGTGCAAAATCCACTTTGTCATGTCTTTTATACATAAACATGTGTCCCCTCTGTGTAAAGAGATTTGGAAAGTTTCAGGAAAAAAGATTTCCATTTATATAAAAACCTGTCTGAAAATGAGCTGATCAGATTTTGGCAACTTTATGATGTCATAACGATTTTTTGGCTTGTGTAACCATTAGCCAATCACCAACCAAGGTAAATATCTCTCAGAGGGGCGTGGGGAGTGGCACCTTATTTTCATCTAAAGTAAAAGACAGAGAATCAGCATTAAAACAGGGCTGAAACAGAGGGGATTATGGGATGCTACAATGCATGATCTGTTTGGTATTTTGAGCCAAACACTTCAGAGACATGTTTTGTATATATCTGAGACATATAATATATTGATGAAAAACAGTATAATAGGGGACCTTTAAGTCAAATATTGCCGAGATGTTTGACATGATGTTTGTACCTTTTTTGTCTTTTTTATGTACTTTTATTGTTCTTCCCTCCATGCAATTGCTATCACACCTTGTTGGCCCATGGCTATTGCCTTTGGGTGCTTGTATATTCAGGATGTTTTTTTAAATGTAGAGGGGTTTTTTCTAAGCTTACTATAAAATTATAAACCTTATTGTGTTTCCGTTTTTTCCTTTTTAATTACAGTTTCATACATTGTCTACCGCCCCTCCCAAACCAAACCCATCATTCCTCTCTGATTTCTCTGAATTTCTGACCCAGCTCTGTTCTTTCTCCACCTCAGTCCTCCTACTTGGTGATTTCAACATCCACATGGACTCCACTGACTCTACAATAACTACAGACTTCACGGACATGCTTAACTGCTTCAACCTCATTCAACATGTCAACTTTCCGACCCATAACCGTGGCCACATTCTGGATCTTGTTTGCTCGACTGGACTAAACCTTCACTATCTGTCTGGCTCAGACCTCTTCCTCTCCAACCACTTAGCCATCACCATGACCATCAACATTCCCACCCCACCACCAAAGCAAAAACGCAAAATCAACTTCCGTAAATTAAGCTGTGTTTCAGCTACCTCTCTGAAAAAATATCCACCACTCCCTTTGTGGACCTCCATAGCCCCTCTGATCTCACTGACTACTACAACAAAATTCTGTCCTCCTGCCTTGACCAACTTGCACCCATAAAAACCAAAACAGTTTCCTTCACCCACTCTGCTCCCTGGTTCACCCCTAAACTCCGTCTGATGAAAACCCGTGCACGGAAACTTGAAAGACTATAAAGATGCCCTCTCCCATGCCCGCACCACCTACTACTCTCAGTTAATCCACTCTGGCTCCGCAAACCCCAAAACACTCTTCTCCACAATAAACAAACTCCTCAGCCCCCTAGACACGACCACTCAGTCATTCACAGTAGACAAATGCAGCTCTTTTCTCACATTTTTTCAAAGCAAAATAGACAACATTTACAGCAGCTTAACCACTACCACACCAGTTCTCCCTCAAGCCACTTGCCCCCCCTTATCCTGCCAACCCCTGTCCCAGTTCTCCCCTGTCTCCCCTACTGACCTCTCTGATCTCCTCACAGGAATGAAAACTGCCACCTGCACCCTTGACCCCATTCCCTCCAGCTTTGTTAAGGCCTGCCTTCCTACTCTCTTCACTCATCACTACAGCAATCAACTCCTCCCTGTCTTCTGGCACCATCCCACCATCCCTCAAAATAGCTGCTATCACCCCTATTCTGAAAACACCCGGACTAAACCCTGACAACCCTAATAACTTCAGACCAATCTCGAACCTACCCTTTCTGTCAAAAGTTCTGGAACGCGCTGTAGCGTCACAACTTAAGCATCATCTTTCTGCTAATAACCTCTATGAAACTTTTCAATCCGGATTCCGCTCAAACCACAGTACCGAAACCACACTCCTCAAAATTACAAATGACCTTCTCCTCTCCTCCGATGCTGGTAACCTCAACATCCTCATCCTCCTTGACCTCAGCGCTGCCTTCGACACCATCAATCACTCCATCCTCCTCACCCGTCTTAAAACCACCTTCAACATCACCGGCACTGCCCTCTCTTGGTTCACTTCATACCTCTCTGACAGAAACCAGTTAATCTACATCAATAACTGCAAATCCCCCACCGCTCCTCTCCCCCAAGGTGTCCCTCAAGGTTCAGTTCTCAGCCCCCTCCTCTTCATCCTTTACCTGCTTCCCCTTGGTCACATAATCCGCCGTCATGGACTTCAATTCCACTGCTTTGCCGACGACATCCAGCTTCTCATCTCCACCAAGTCCATCTCCACTGCTACCCACTCCATTCTGACAAACTGCATCACTGAAATAAAATCCTGGCTCCAACTTAACTTCCTGAAACTCAACTGCGATAAATCTGAAATAATAATCATTGGACAAAACAAGCTCACCACACCTATCCATAACTTCACCCTCAACATAGACGGCTTCCCAGTTCAAACCTCCCCTCACATCCGGAACCTATCATCATATTTAACCAAACCCGCTCCTACAACAAATACATCAAACAGATCACAAAGACAGCCTTCTTCCACCTCAAAAACATCGCCCGTCTACGTCCATCCCTCTCTCCCACTGCTGCCGAAACCCTCATCCACGCCTTCATCACCTCCCGTCTGGACTATTGCAACAGCCTCCTCTACGGTTCACCTGCAAAAATCCTCAAAAAACTTCAATATATCCAGAACTCCGCCGCCCGTCTACTCACCCACACCGAATCCTTGAACACATTACACCCATCCTCATCAAGCTCCACTGGCTCCCCATCCCCCAGATAATTCAGTACAAGATCCTCCTGATGATACAAAGCCCTCCATAACCTGGCCCCATCCTACCTGATTGACCTCCTCCACAGACACACTCCCACTCGCTCCCTCCGCTCTGCTACTGCCAACCTCCTGTCCCTCCCCACCCGGACCAACCTCAAGTCCTGGGGCGACAGAGCCTTCTCCGTTGCTGCACCCACCCTCTGGAACTCACTACCCCAATCCATCCGAGATTCTTCCTCCCTCACAGCATTCAAAACATCACTCAAAACCCACCTGTTCAACACTGCATTCAACCACTGACCACCCCCCCCCCCCTATTTTCTGTTCTGTTTATCTCTTTTTTGTATTTCTTTGTTATCTATTTTTTTTCTTTTTTTTGGTTTCTCTTGTCTCTTTTTCTCCTCTTAATTCTCTGTCAAAGCGTCTTGGAGTTTCATGAAAAGCGCTATAAAAGTCCCATGTATTATTATTATTAATGGCAAAATATAAAATGTCTAATGGTAAAACAACTTAAATCAAGTGTCACAAAGCCAATGTGGTTTATAGGAAGATAATAAAAACAATTGCTAGTATACTGAAAAGTAAGATTTTAATACTTTTCATAGTATAGCTATGAATCAGTTTGTTGGGTAACTTTATTTTTGAGTATAGTTCACAAGGAGATGCATATATTGTGCAGCCACTTAAAACAGATGCCGAAGTGTCACATGGCTGAGTTTCACAATGATCAAGGAGTCCGTATAATTTAGAGATCAATAAACCACATGGCTGTCTTGGCTTCTTATCTTTTTCCCCATCTCTATAACTCAATTATTTCCAAAGACTTATTTGTTTTAATAAATGGCCCATTATGCAATACATAATTATGCAACTACAACATAATAACAACTACATGGTCATGTGTTTAGGTATAAGTGGGGAAAAAATCCATATCTATTCCCAAACACATGGTTAACATTTTTTAAACTCATGTTGGATGAAGAAAAAACAACCTTTGCACACTGTCATGATTGTAGTTGTGTTTGGCAGTGCGAGCTGTAGGGGGAGCTGTGGCTCTGCTGCTTGGGCCACACTCCTAGGCCTGTGGGTGAGAAGGGTTTATTCACTGTGAGGGGGCCACAACCGAAGGAGCTGTGTGACATTTAATCATGCCTCTGGCGCATGCTTGATGATTAGCATCTTTGTGGAAAACAACAGTAACAAGTGCCAAATGCAGGATCCCACACAATCACCTGGCCGTGGTTCACACAATAGGGCACGGGAATCAGCACGAATCAGCTCCTTCAGCTCAGTGTGTTCACTCAACCTGCACCGCACTGCAAAGTTAAAATGAGCTCAGAGCCTGTGAAAAGATGCCCTAGGTGGATCATCTGCTTTCATGAAAATTGGATAACCTGGTTAATTTCTGTTTATCGACTCACTCTAAATATCTGCTGGTGTATGGGAGGAAAACATTTTTTAAATATATATTTTTTGTATCTGTTACCTTATCCTCCTTGTGAGAGGCCTGTAGAAAACATAGAACATTTTTGCTGATATTCCTCTTTATTACATAAAATATGTATTTAAAGTGTGTCCCTTTACCCTTCTGCTCGACCATTATGGTCGAGCACACTTTGAGTCACTATATCTTACGGGAAAATCCGTTTTACTTAGATCTCTGTCAGCAAGCTCCACCACGCGGTTGACATATGTAATGCTAATAACATCCACTAGATGTCACTGTGTTTCAATAGCACAGATAGCAAGTTAGCCTGTTCACAGGAAGTTAGCAACAACAAAATCACCTGACACGAGGCTTCTGTTTGGTGGGATTTTCAAAGGTTTTAAAAAAATTAAACATTTAAAAAAAAGTGCCTAACAATTTCTTAAAGACATGCTCTTTTGGGCGACTGTGGCTGCAAGGGAGTGCGGTCGTCTTTCAACCAGAAGGTTGTGGGTTCGATCCCAGCCCATGTAGTCAACATGTCGATGTATCCTTGGGCAAGATACTTAACCCTGAGTTGCTCCCGATGGCATGGCCAACGGTGTGTGAATGTTAGGTCCTAGAGTAAGATACACTGCTCTGTGTGAATGGGTGAATGACATGTAGTATGTAAAGCGCTTTGAAGGGTCTTAAAGACTGGATAAAGCGCTATATAAGTACAGTCCATTTACC